GAGTGCACTACCGCTTGAGCCACATCCCCAGCCCCTCTTCCTTTTTTTTTTTTTTTTTCCATAAGGATATCCAATCATCCCAGCACCATTTATTGTAAAACTATCCTTTTCACATTGGTTCATTGTACCACCTCAGGGATAAATTAAGTGTCTGTATATGTTTGGGTCTGCTTCTGAGGTCCTTCTTTACTTTGGTCAATTTGACAATCTTTATATTAATACCACCATTTCTTAATTTTAAGAAGTCAATATTTTGTTCAATAAGTCCTGGGTCTGTTCTTCAAGAGTGTCTTGGGCTGGCGGTGTGGCTCAGTTGCTGAGCATTATGAAGCTCTGGGTTGGATCCCCAGATTAAAAAAAAAAAAAAGAAGAAGAAGGATATCTTAATTATTTGGACACTGCATATTCATATAAATTTTAGAATCAGTTTTCTAATGCCCCCCAAAAAAGTTTATTGTGATTTTGATTGGCATTATTGAGCTCATAATTATTCAAGGAATAATCAACACTTTTAATGTTCCATGCCCTTTAATTGGTCTACATGATATATTCTTCCATTTTTTAAACTCTTCTCTAAATAATGTTTGTAATATGATATATAGAGGTCATGTACATAGTTCATCAAGTTTTCATAGACATTTGATTTTTTTATGTTATTGTAGATAATATTGTTAAAATGTTTATCTTTTTATTCTTGCTGGTATGCAGAAATTAAGATTTTTGATCTCAGCAACCATGCTAAACTCACTAATTCTAATAATTTATCTCTAGATTATTCTAAGTTTTCAATAAACACAAGTATGATTATATATCTTACATCCAATCCTTATGGTTTTTATTTCAATTTTTTGCTTGATTCCTCTGCCTAGGAATACCATACAACTATTCAATATAAGTGATGACAGAAGGATGATAGAGCTGTCTTATTTCTGTTCTTAGAAATCTTCCCACATTTCATTGTTAAATAAAATGTTTACTGTAATTGTTAGCTTCGTAGAATAAACATTTCTGTTTAAAAAAAACTTAAACCTATTTTAGCAAGTTGTCCTAGTAGCACATTGCTGGGTTCTAGCCAATCACAGCACCCAGTTATAGTCACAGGTGGCCAACTGTTCAAATCATGTTCAAATAAAAAGCTGGACACAACTCAGCTTTCTCTATACCTCACTCATTTCTCTGTGTCATTTTTCCCATTTTTTTGTCCATAAAACCTTTCAGATGACATTGCAAAGGAGATTCTCCCTAAATCCGCTCTGGTTCTGAGGAACTAGAGGAACCAGCCCAGTTTATGAATCTTTCTTTGCTCATTTAAACTCTGTTAAATTTCATTTGTCCAAAGTTTTTCTTTTAATAGAAAATGAAAATATTTGACCATGAAATATCTGGAGCTGAGAATGTGGCTCAGTGGTAGAGAATGTGCCTAGCATGCATGAGGCCTTGCATTCAGTCTCTAGCACTGGAAAACAAAAATGAAAAAGAACAGAAAATTTTTCATACTATTTCCTAACAATAATTTTCACTCAATATGCTGTAAACACCAAAACCATGTTTTTTTTTCCAACTGTTTTGTTTACCTTATTTTTTCTTTTGACTTAAAATTTTTTTCCTGATTATTCTTTAACAGCTTTATTGATATGTAATTCAAATATGCAATTCACCCATTTAAAGTATGAGTCATTAATTTTAAAATATCATATTCCCATTTATTCTCAATTCTTTTTATTCATTTATTTATATTCTCAATTTTTAAAATCAGTTTCTATATGCTATCCTTCAGGGACTTTGGTTATTATTGAATCAACGTTATTAAATCTTTCCAAATAGCAAGGACATGATAGAGTGTTCTACTAATTTCTATCTCCTTTTATTCCCCTTGTGGCTTTTCAATCATTTCCTTTGAATATATAAAGCTTTTAGAGTTTCTATGTTATCTGTGAGCATTATTATTTTATGTTTAGAACTGTATATTACTGGAGCATAGTAATATAGCAGAACTTTGTAAATTTATATTATGTGTAATATAAGTTTAAAGAGTAGTATATTATTAGTATTTTTTGTTGGTTTCCCAACATTGTTTTTCTGGGTATAGATTTTAAATATTAAAAATAGTGATATTGTAGCTTATGACTTTTTGTTGCATATTCTTTTTTCTTCTCAAATCATGGCCAGCATTTCTGGTGATGAACAGATTTTTGAAAATATAAATAATACCTATACTGGACTTTTACCTAGAATTTATATATACTCAGTGAATAGACAAACAGCCTAATAAAATAAATGTATAAATGACTTGAGCAGAAACTTCATTGGTGAAGATAAGCAGATAGTGAACTCGAGAGTGAAGTTGCTCAACATTACTCATCAGGGAAATGTAAACCCAAACCACGAGACATCACTTTGTACCCACTGGAATGGGTACAACGAACATGACTGAACTCCAAATGTTGGCAAGGATGTAGAGCAACTGGCACCCTTATACTGGCTGGCAAAAGTGTAAAATTACACAACGCTGAAGTACTGTTTGCACTGTCTTATGAAGTTGAATATATACCTATTTTATAAACCTAGAAATCTCAATCCTAAGTATTCCCTCCCCAGCATTAAAGCATATTTCCACAAGACTTGTTTAAAAAGTATATTTAACAGCTTTATTCATAATAGCCCCAAACTAGAAACAACCCATATGGCCTTCAACAGGAGAATGGATAATAGAGTCATATATAGGTATATTTCTCAGAGAAAAGAAAATATTGCTGAATTTTCATCCATGAAAATATGGATGGAAAAAAGCCATTCACAAAGGACTATATATGGTATGGTTTCCTTTGTATGAAGTTCAAGAACAGATCAAACTAACCTATGATGACAGAAATCAGGGCCACGGTTGCCTGTCATGACTGGGGAGTAATGGGAAGAGATAAGGGAATCTCTACAGTGATGGAAATGTCCCAGGTCTTGATTGGAGCATCTGTTGATAACAAATGTATATATTGGGCAAAACTCAACAAGATGTACATTTAAGACTTGTGCATTTTACTGTGCATAAATTTTAACTCAATTTCTTTTTAATTATAAGAAAAGGAATCTGATTGGCCCATCTGGAGTCAGGTGTCTTGCTTTCCTTCAGGAATCAGTTTTTGCTAAATGATCAAACCAAATAGTAGAGACATGGTTCAAAGAAGGGGTATCAGTGTATGCTTGGCTGCCACCCCACAAAGTGTCAGTATATATTATGTGGTGTTAGTCTCTGTTTTCAAAACCATACCATCTTTTTCTATATTTGGGAAGTGTTTAATATATCAAAAAAAATTTTTTTTGTTGTTTTTGTGATGCTAGAGATTGAAGCCAGGACTTCACATGTGAGAAAAGCACTCTACCACTGAACTAAGTCCCCAGACTTTATGGAATTTTTACTCTTAAGAAGTTAGGGAAATTTTTCAAATGATTTGATCAGATAAAAATAATATAAAAGGGGCTGAGAATGTAGATCAGTGTTAGAGCACTTGCCTAGCATATGTGAAGCCCTGGGTTTGATCTCCAGCACTGTAAAATAATAATAATGGAAGCTGAGTTTAGTCAATACATGCTGTATATTGTACTCAATATATTTATTTGTTCAGTTAAAATATAATGCTGAACCCCATTAACATGTATAATTAATGCATGTTAATCAAAAATAAAGTGAAAATAGGCCCCAATTCCCCACCCTCCATAGTAATCATACCATTTTAGTATGAATTTGAATTTGAATCGATGGCCATACCACCCTGAACGTGCCTGATCTCCTGTCTGATCTTAGAAGCTAAGCAGGGTCAGGCCTAGTTATTTCTTGGATAGGAGAATTCTGAATTTGCTCCTAGTGTGAAGAAAAGAACACAGGTTGGAAGACATCAACTCCAGGCTTGCATTTCATCACACAGTAGATGATTTATCTAGGGGAGCCAACTATTTTGTTTGAATTCAGTCTGTCTAGATACAAAATGAGGACAATTCTTTCTCTATCCACCTTTTAAGCTACTGAACAAGAACTTGGCAGTCATTTGCTCTAATTCTCTTATCTTCCCCAGGAAGAAACTCATCAGTTAAGGCTTTGCTCTTGCTCTTCTTTTCTGACTCAGATCCTTTTAAGGAATTGTTGAAAGCTATAGACCCTTCACCTCAGAAGAATGATGTACTTGTGTGTGTACGCACTCCCACGTGTATATACAATATGCAATATACCTTACTGCATATTATGTCTCAAAGAATCACAAAATTCCTAAAGTTCATTCTTAGGGAAGTCAAGTTTAAAAATCCTGAATTAGAGAAAACAATTAGAATCAAAAGAGTTTTTTAAAAACAAACGTACACTAAAATAAGCTTGTTTGTTTCAGCATGAACGTAGTTATTTTCAGGCAATGTTATTAATATATATTATTTATCTATTAACACTCAACATGTTCTATACTTATAGGTTAAATGCCACTCCATAATTCTAAATTAGTGACTATCATTTTATAAGAGCTTCCCCTACTATCATGAGAGAACAAGTTGCTAAATGTTTTTAAATTAAATAAGGCACTCAAATTCTAGATATGAAGCAACAGCAGGACTCTTCCCCACTTTTGAGTTGAAACATGATCTTGTTTCCCACATTTTCAGTGCTTTCTATAGAAAGACATGCTTGTCTTACACTTGTCTGAACAAAGGTTTATGTAAATTAATGCATTATCATGTATAGTTCTCTATAATCAAGGAAAATTTTCATGTTGATAGTTTATTTAGGTAGAAATAAGACAAAGTATATTGAGTTTGTGAGTATAGCAGAAAAGCAATTTCTGAGGAAATGTTATATGTGTGGATGCCCAGTATTTAGCATAGAGCCTTGAACACAGAAGGGACTAAAAGGTAACATTTAATTCCTAGGGAACTACATATTGCCTTTATTGCTAGACAATTTCACCAGAAGAAAGGAAGAGACTAACAAATAAAAACAAAATAAATAATAAAACTTCACAGAATTTTCTTAGAAAAAATAATTTTAATTCATATGTTTAGCACAATTTTCTTTATTTTATATATATATAAAATAAGCCCAAAGCAAAACCCCTATCATTCATTTAAAATACAAATCATTTCAGTACTTCTTCTTTGGAATGTCTACAACTTCCTCATGTGGCCTCAGAGAAGGGCTCCACGCCTTACACTGATCAGGACAGAAATCCAGTAGGGAGAAATCCTGTTGCAATGGGTAACTATTTTCATCTAAGACAAAAAGGCTCTGAATCTTCAACACACAAGGCTCTGTGCTATCTGTCAACAAGGAGAGAAGCAGGTCTGCTGCAACCATTCCATAGGTGATCTCTGAAGAAGGTACTAAGGAAGAACAAAGATATACAGGAAGCGTTCAATATCCCTTCCAGATTAATAGATACACACATTGAGTGTTTCATTTGGTTCCTCAAGTCTCATACCCATGTTAAATTTCTCATTTTATACCTCTCTTTCTAGTTTCAAGTTACTGAAGGCAGTCTAATACAATGGCCTGTGATTCTCATTAACAGGAAAAGCAAGCTCAGAAGATGAGTTATTCAGGCTGACAGCAGCTCCTATTGCCACACAGCTATCAGCTTCTTAATGTAGCAAAGAACTGAGACTAATGTTTCCCTAAGTTATGAATAAAACAAAAAGAGAGTATCTGTATAAAAAAAAGACTCTCATATTTACCTGATCTATTGTTTTTAATCACAATTACCTACACATATACTGCTTGAAGAAGTGTTCTGGATTTTAGATTTTGGGGGGATTTAGGAATATTTGTGTGTGTGTGTGATATATATATATATATATATATATATATATGGGAGATCATGTGAACAGGACCCAATTCTAAACACAAAATTCATTCATGTTTCTTATACACATTACCTTGAAGGAAATTTTATACAATATTTTTAATATGACTATGTTTTAACTACAACTTGTTACATGAAGACAGCTGTGGAATTTGCTACTTATGGCACCACATTGGCACTCTAAGTTTTGGGTTTTGAAGCATTTCAGATTTCAGATTTTTTTTTTTTACTTAATTTTAATATGAAAGAACCTGAATCAGTTATTTAATGAATACCAAATTTTGATAACTAAAAATTATGCATAGATGTAACATTTTATTTTTTGTCCTATATTCTTCCTCTTATTTTTTTTTAGGACACCTAATGAGTTACTTTAGCAGATTGTTTAATCCCAGACTAACAGGGCACTATTAACTGTGTTGAAATTGCACTAGTTCCTTGACCAATACCAACAGTCTTTCTCGGATTGGGCTACTATTGTCCTGGAGGTCATATTTCCAGAAATAAAGTAATTTGAAATTTTTGTATTTCCAGAAGTATGGTAATTTAAAATAGCATATTTCCAGAAGTATGCGAATTTAAAATTATTGTATTTTCACTTTGATACACACACAAAAAAAAAATCTGCACTAGTGATTATATGGATGGTCTGATAACCTCTTTGTAACTAATGATAATCTAAAATATGCCAAGAAATATAACTGTCTCAAAAATGGATAAGCACAAAGCATATCTGATATAAGAATGATGCTTCTCTGAGAAATAAAGACTACACTGTGTATAAAATGGAAGAGATAAGACCTTGGGATGTGGCTTGATGGTAGAGTGCTTGCCTAGCATGCATGAGGCCCTGGGTTCAATTCCCAGTATCACAGATAATAATAATAATAAGAGATAAGATTGACAATATAAAAATATTATCTTAAAAGATGAAAGAGATAATATTGAAAATATAAAAGAACATTGAGAAAAGGAATGAAGATAGCCAAAAGAATGCACGTAAAGAAAAACAAATTACAAAAGCAAACAAATGAAGATTCTTCAAATTAGGATGTAGAAAGCTGGAAAGATATGGCTCCCACCCCAAGTTATTAGAAAAAGCTAACTGACAAAAATCATCATTTTTCTTGGAACCACAGAAAAACAAGGTTTCACAGCAGCCAAGAAGTGTGGGTAGGACAGATACCTCCAAGGAGGGATGGAACAGGAGCCAGGTCCAATCACAATAGGGCTTGGGAAGAAGTCAGGCCCACCAAACAAACAGGAAAAGAAGAATATGTTCAATTTTTTAATGAATTGCTAAAAGTCAAATACAGGCCAATACCACAGACATAAGGGAATTTCATCTGTGCTGGCCCTTCCATGTGGCTGTTTTCACCTCTATCAGGTGCTCATAGCCTGGGGCAGTACAAGACATCAGAAAAGGCTTCCAACTGTTGGGAAGTCCTGAAGGAGGGGAGAAAAGTACAAAATGCTGCCTGGGCTTCCCCATAAAAGAAACAAAAGCCTTAACTGCTGGAGGAAAGATAGTAAATTCTGTTGCCCCAGAAAAGGACCCAGTATAGATGAGAGAAAAATAAGAGAAAAAAATCCTTCTAACCCTGGAGAAGAGACAGAAAACCTCTCTAGATCAAGATGCACAATACACTGCTGCTGAGGAAGGGACAGAGCCACACAAGCAAGAACACCAAAGTCACAGTGGAGCTTATTTGCCATGGCAAAGGGGGCAAGGCCACAGAGGAAGTGTCACACCCAAAACTCTGTAAGACTGGAACAGAATCATAGAGAGAATCATCCTGGTTCCCTTCCCCGACCAACCTAGGATGCACCAAATAACAACCAACAGAAGCAGGTCAGCTTGAGGACAACATAGAGAGATTCAAAATACAGTCATGCACCACATGAAGTCATTGAAACACTGCACACATGATGTTGGTCCCATAGATTGCAATGGACCTGACAAATTCCTATCACCCAGTGATGCAGCCTTCCTAATGTTATTGGGTAAAGCATTATCATGTTTTGTAGTGATGACAGTGTTCAACTACTGTGCTGCCAGTTGTATAAAAGTATAACACCTATAATTTTTTATACTACCTAATATTTGATGATAATAAACAACTATGTTACTGGTTTACTACAGAATATTTTTTAAATTGTTATTTTAACTGTACTCTTACCTATTTTTTTTTAAATCATTTACTATAAAAGAGTATGCTGTGATACACTGGCAGCAGCCTCATATATCTCATACAGGTCTCCTGATTGCATCAAGCGGCCATGTGGAATGATTGACCTGTACTCTCCAGGTTTGCATAAGCATACTCTATGACACTTACAAATAACATGTTTCTCAGAATATATCTCAAATACAACTGTAGCTAAACAGAGGATTTTGAATATTCTCAACACAAAGAAACAATAAAAGTTTGAAGTTATGCAAATGTTAATTATCCTGATTTGATCATTATACATTGTATACACATATCAAAATATCACACTGGACTCCATAAATATGTATAAGTATGGAAAGAAGCTCTGTAAAGTCCAAGGTACAAAGTGAAGGACTAAAGCTTGCAGCAGAGCAGGAGTAGAGGGAAGTGCTGCTCACCATTCTCACAACAAAATACTCATGAATCTGAGGCCCATGCCTGAAGTCAACCATACCCCTGCCCATGCAGTAAAGATCTAAAAGAAGAAGCATGCTAAATGCAATGTTCAGCATTCAAAAAAAAAAAAAAAACTATTACACACACAACAAGCAAGAAAAACAATACACCATTAAGAGACAAAGCAATAAAAAGAGCCAAATTAGTTCATCTGCTTAAAGAATCTGAGGCTAATGAGAACAGGTATGGAGTTTGATTACCTGATAGGTGCAGTATCTTTGCTTTGTCCTTAGCCACTGACTGTCCCTGACGTTCTGGCTGAAGAGCTTGCAAATTCATTCTACTGAGAGTAGACTACCTTCAAATACATGGAATTACACATTCATTTATTTATTATAAAACTTGGGCCCTGGGGCTTTTGCTGACCAATGGGGAATTTAAAGAGAGGTTAGGTACTTCCCCGTATTCATGTACCCAGATAGGTATAGAGCAAATCTCACCTTTTAACTTACATAGACTTATGTTTTACTCAAGGTAAATTATCCTTCTGCTTTTATGCTGATGAAAAAAAAGTCAATTTACAACATAGCATTCCTTCTGTTCCAATATACTACCTATACTCCTGAATGGATGGTTTCATGAAGAAAATCTCCTTGATGGAGTGTTGACACATTACCTACAATTCTGTTGAGGCAGTCTGGAGAAATGTTGAGAAGAATCTTCTCTATCAACTCTGATGCTACATGGATGCAAATGTTATGTGTTCCATCAGCTACAGTCATTAAAGCTGGCCTACAAAAAAAATAGAAAATAGAAGTTAAAAGAGATCATTAGTAGAGGGAAATTTAGTATAACAGAGACAAAATGTGACTAAGGATTTTCCCACTTTACCCATATGGTGATTCTAGGTCCCAGTCCCATCCTCTTCTCACTCTACACTCTTTCTCCAGGCTCACTCTCTCCCTCCATTCCTTTTTTTTTTTTTTTAACTTTTTAAAAATTCATTCTAATTAGATATATGAAAGTAGAATGCACTTTGATACATCAAACACAGATGGAGTATAATTTCTCATTCTTCTGGCTGTACATGATGTAGAATCCCACCAATTGTACAGAGTAATAATATCTGATTCATTCTACTGTATTCATTCTACTCCCATATTCCCTTCCCCTCCCTTCACTCTCCTCTACCTAAAGTAACTCTACTCTTCCCTAGCCTCCCCCCAGCTTATTGTGAATTAGCATCTGCATATCAGAGAAAATATGAGGCCTTTGGTTTTTTGGAATTGGCTTATTTGGCTTAGCATTGTGTTCTCTAGCTCCATCCATTTACTGGCAAATGCCATCATTTCATTCTTCTTTAAGGCTGGGTAATATCATCACATTTTCTTTATCCACTCATCTGTTGAAGGGCACCTAGGTTGCTTCCATAGTTTAGCTATTATGAGTTGAGCTGCTATAAATCAGCATACTACAGTGACGCAGCCACATCAATGTTTACAGCACTTCCATTCTCCCTCCATTCTTTATGTCAACAAAGACAAGCTGAATATTCATTATGTACCATGACTGTGCTAAACATTGGCTATACACTAATAGCAAGACAAATCTGATGCCTTCTTTAAGGAACTTATAAATTTAGTAAGAAAAAAGAAAATAAGTTTTATTTGTTTGTGTTTTTGTTTTGTTTTGGTGGTACCAGGGATCAAACCTAGGGGAGAGATGACTTGACTGCAGTGTCAGTGGTGGAAATGGAAAGAAGTGGGCAGATTTAAGAGTGTTTGGAAAATAGAATTGGCAAACTTTAGTGATTGAGTGGGCTTTGAACATTTGTTTGAAAAAACGGTGTTGGGCGTGGTGGTGCATCACAAGTTTGAGAGCGGTCTTAGCAAATTAGTGGAAGACTGTCTCAAATTGAAAAATAAAGGGCTGGGGGTGCTGCTTGGTAGAGCACCCTGGGTTCAATCCCAAGAAATGCCAAAAAAAATTCCTGTTATAATTTCTGGACAATATTTGCTTTTATAAATAGCTATCTGTCACTCAAGGAGAGTATTTTATTCTCTTCAATTAGCTCTAGTTAATTTTTGTTAGAAAGTAATGATACATGTAATTTTTCAGTCACTTCCAGTCCTAAAATTTCCTTTACATTGGCTTGCTTAGTTGTCTTACCTATAATGTGTTTTCTTCCTAGCAAACGGCAAGCAGCTAAGACACTGTCTGTAGATTTTGTTTTCATCTGTTTCTAGTTCCAATCCACATTTTGCACAGCCAGTATATATAATGTTGGGGAGAGAGGAGAAGATACTCTTCAGGGAACTGTGAGCATTTAGAGTTATCTTCTGAGCTGCTGCAACAGGAAATACTAGTTCTAAAATTTGAGCTTTAATTAGAACTACTCCTATAAAAGACAAACAAAAATATTATAAATTATTGACCCAAATTATAATTTTAATTATCAATATGGCTTATGATATGGTTGATTTAGTCACTTAAAGATTCCATTAAGCTCTTGTTTTTGATTTTTTTTTTTTGTCTTCACTCTTCCTAGAGAGTCTCACAGCTTCAATACTGACTCTAGAATCTAAAAGGATCTCTACATGCAAGTGAGTAAAGATTTATTTGGCTAATATGACTAAACATGTGGATATTTTCTTCCTCCCCACCCTCTCGAATCATGCAAAATAAATTTAATCCTTCTTTTAGGAGAAAGTCCTTCAAATACTTGAAGCTAGCTAATATGCCCTCTTTCACTGTCGTGTCAACAATCTTTTTAATTTATTTCAGTCAAAAGTCAAGCAGGAGGTGGGTTAGTTATTGTACTCTCTCCTCTATCCAAAAGTAATAAACCAATAGTTTATTACTATTATTCCCCTTCCCCCCAATTTTTTGCCTATCCATCCATCCTGGGTTATACAGCCACGTGAGCACTGACAGTCCTCATTTACTAATGGTTTCTCATGTGACTCAATGTAATCTAAAGCATGCTCAATGACTACTTAATGGCTCATCATTCACCTGTTGAACAAATACTGAATATCTACTGTCTGCCAGACATTATTTTTTTCCTTTCAGTATACTAGTAAATTCTATGAATTTATCTAAGCATACTCTCCCCTCTTCTCCATAATAAGGGGGTGTTGCTCAGCGGTAGAGTGCTTTCTTAGTATGTGCAAAGCCTGAGTTCAATCCCCAGTATATATATATCACACACACACACACACACACACAAAGAGAATAATATAATTTTACGTCAATAAATTTTTTGTCACTATACAAACAACTTAGATGAAATGAAAAAATTTCTTGAAAATTACAAACTACCAAAACTCTCTCAAGAAGAAGTAGATAACCTAAATACCTCTATATTTATTAAGGAAATTGAAGTTTCAGTGAAAATCTTTCAATAAAGAAAAACCTAAAGCCAAGCACAGTGGCACAGGCTTGTAATCCCAGTGACTTGAGAGGCTGAGGCAGGAGGATCGCAAGTTCAAGAACAGCCTTAGCAACTCAAGATATATATTTGTGACCAAGTTGGGTTTCCTATAAATGCAAAGTTGTCTAACATTAAAAAAAAATCAATCAATGTAATTAATTACAGATTAAAAAGAAAAACTATATGATCATCTCAAAAATGGAGAAAAAGCATTTGTCAAAATATAACACCCATTTCTGATTAAAATTTTTAGTAATGATATATGATAACATCAATCAATCTGATAAAAAGAATCTATAAAAAACCTATAGTCAACATCATACTAAAAATGAAGATCATGAATAAAAACATCAACTCTCACAAAGTCTTTTCAATATTATACTGAAGGAACTAACAAGAACAGTGAGGTAAGAAAAATAAATAAAAAACAGAAAGGATGTAGTAAAATGTCTTTACTCACAGACAAGATGATTGTCTCTGTAGAAAATCCAAATCTACACAAAAGTAACTATTGAGCTTGGTAAATTTAGCAAGATTACAAAAATACAAGATCAATATATAAAAATCAATTGAATTTCCAAATATTAGCAACCACTGCAATCATATTTTTTTAAAAAATATCATTTACAATAGCACAAAGGTAGAAAAACAAACATGTCTGACAAAATGTGAAAGTCTTATACTCTCAAAACACAAAACATGCCTGCAAGAAAGACTTAAACAAGTGAAGAGAAAGACCCTGATCATGAATTAAAAACTAAATATTCAGGTGTCAGTTCTCCTAGAAATTTATCTGTAGCTTCAACACAGCCCCAATCAAAATTCCAACAGGCTTTTTTTTTTTTTTTTTTTTTTTGTAGAAATAAGAGAACAAACAACCCAATCAACAAATGGGCCAAGGACCTGAACAGACACTTCTCAGAGGAGGACATACAATCAATCAACAAGTACATGAAAAAATGCTCACCATCTCTAGCAGTCAGAGAAATGCAAATCAAAACCACCCTAAGATACCATCTCACTCCAGTTAGATTGGCAGCCATTATGAAGTCAAACAACAACAAGTGCTGGCGAGGATGTGGGGAAAAGGGTACACTTGTACATTGCTGGTGGGACTGCAAATTGGTGCAGCCAATTTGGAAAGCAGTATGGAGATTTCTTGGAAAGCTGGGAATGGAGCCACCATTTGACCCAGCTATTCCCCTTCTCGGTCTATTCCCTAAAGACCTAAAAAGAGCATGCTACAGGGACACTGCTACATCGATGTTCATAGCAGCACAATTCACAATAGCTAGACTGTGGAACCAACCTAGATGCCCTTCAATGGATGAATGGATAAAAAAAATGTGGCATTTATACACAATGGAGTATTACTCTGCATTAAAAAATGACAAAATCATAGAATTTACAGGGAAATGGATGGCATTAGAGCAGATTATGCTAAGTGAAGCTAGCCAATCCCTAAAAAACAAATGCCAAATGTCTTCTTTGATATAAGGAGAGTAACTAAGAACAGAGTAGGGTCGAAGAGCATGAGAAGAAGATTAACATTAAACAGGGATGAGAGGTGGGAGGGAAAGGGAGAGAGAAGGGAAAATGCATGGAAATGGAAGGAGACCCTCAGAGTTATACAAAAGTACATACAAGAGGAAGTGAGGGGAAGGGGAAAAATAATATAAGGGGGACAAACGAATGTCAGTAGAGGGAGCAGAGAGAGAAGAGGGGAGGGGAGGGGAGGGGAGAGGGGATAGTAGAGGATAGGAAAGGCAGCAGAATACAACAGACACTAGTATGGCAATATGTAAATCAATGGATGTGTAACTGATGTGATTCTGCAATCTGTATATGGGGTAAAAATGGGAGCTCATAACCCACTTGAATCAAATTGTGAAATATGATATATCAAGAACTATGTAATGTTTTGAACAGCCAACAATAAAAAATTAAAAAAAAAAAAAAAGAAATTGACAAACTGTTTCTAAAATCCAAATGAAAATGCAAGTGTTCTAGAATAGCCAAAAAAAAAAAACTTTGAAAAAGAATAAAGTTGGAAGGCTAACAGTGCCAAATTTTAGGACTTGTAAGCTATAATAATCAAAACAGGTTGGTATTGGTATAAAATAGGCAAATAGATTAATATAACAGAAAAGAAAGTCAAAAAATAGACTACACAGATGTGGACAACAGATATTTTACAAAGGTGCAAAGCCAATTCCCTGAGGAAATAATGATTTTTTCAACAAATGGTGTTTACATGAATGGATATTTCATACAACAAAGAGAGCTGGAAAGAGAGACAGAGATTCAAGCCATACCTCATACTATATACAAATATAATTAACTCAAAATAAACCACAGATTTAAATAAAAATATAACTCAAAATAAATCATAGATCTAAATAAAAAACCTAAAACTCTTGAAGAAAACAAGAAAATCTTTTGACCCTGGGTTAGGCAAATATTTCTAAAACACAAAACCAAAAACCCTATTCATATAAAAATAAATGGTTAATCTGCCTTCATTAAATTTTTAAACTTGTACTCTTCAAAAGATCCAGGGGAAAGAATAAAAAGATGGCCAACAAATTGGGAGAATATATTTGCCAAGCATATAACTGATAATGGATTTATACCTAGAATATATAAGGAACTCTCAAATTCAATAATAAAACAATCAACCTGATTTTTAAAAAATGGGCAAAAGATTTCAATTGATATTCCACCAGTAAAAGGCACATGGATAATAACTAAGTACATGAAAAAGATGCTCAATATTATTAGCCAGTAGGGAAATATAAATTAAAACAGTAATGAATTCTTACTACATATTTATTAGAATGACAAAAATTAAAAAGAAGGTTCCTATCTAATGTTGACCAGAATGTACAGAAACTGCAAATTTCATATACTGCTGGTGAGAATATAAAATATAAAATGGTTCAACCACTGTGGAAAACAGTTTGGCAGTTTCTTAGAATGTTAAATATACCACATAATTCAGCTATTTTATAGGTATTTCACTCAAAAGAAAAGAAAGACTATGTCCACATAAAGTCATACACATGAAAATTTATAAAAGCTTTATTTGTAATAATCAAGATCTGGAAAGAACCCCAATGTGTATCAACATATGAAAAGATATGAACAGATAAACATAACAATACAGATGCATCTCAAAAGAATTTGCCTCCTGAATGATGACAGATAAAACAATGTATATACTATGATATTCCATTTATTTTTAAAAATAATAGAAAGGTCAGAAGTAGCATGAGTGGGAGGAAGAGACTACAAAAAAGCAAAAGGAACACTATTTTAACTGTGGTAATGGTTTCATGTAAAAATCCACATAATAGGTTAAGATTACTATATGAAAACTATACCCAAAAAACTCTGTTAAGGTTTTGTTTTTTAATCTGACACTTGGTTTTTGAACCACACTTGAAAGACACTAACTCTAAAATGAGATACAACTTTCAAATTACTGTGAAAGTACCAAAAAGGAGGCATACCATGTCAGCTTAAAAGCTCCAAAAAAATACTTGAGATTCTTAGCAAGTGGTCTCTTTCAGAGTTGTAATTTATTTCATTTTGGATCAGACTCTTTTTATCAAAATAATTACAAAAGTAATCATATTGTTTCACTTAAGCTACATGTAGCATTTTGTAAAATCTAAAATCATATATGAATTCGGAAGATTATTTATGCAAATAAAAAAATGAAGACAAAATTCTGTATCAAAGTTCCTCAGTTATTCTCAATAATTTAACCTATACAAGCATCAAAAATAGTAATCTTATAAAAATTCTTAGAAATTTTTTGACCAACTTCTTTCTTTTTCATTAAAACACTTGAACTATGGAACAAAATAAACCTATATACACATTCCATTATCTTCAATCCTTATTTCTTCTCCAAAATGCATTTACTATCAGAGTCAATGGAAAGCTTTCCATTACTTTCCAAAGTTGATAATCACTGTCATTTATTAATTACTGGAATTTAGCAACCCTAAATATAGCTCAAATGCTATTTGCTGTCCTTCAACTAGAAGTTAGCATCATTTAGCATTACCTTTGTAAGTAGGAAGCCAATGCAATATAGTAAAACCTATTTCCCAATGAAATTACAAATATTTATTATCACTACTGTACTATACTCTCTCTTCATTCCAAAATCCTTGGCCTTTTGGATTTAAAATGTATTCCTTTCCTTCTGTACTCCAAACAAATCACTTTAATTATATTTAGTTAAAAGGAAATATGAATATGTGTATATAATTCATAATCAAAGGAATTCATCTATGTGGTATGTTTCTGAGGATGAATTTTAGACACACACATATTTGAGTACTAGAAGGGTAGCAGACTGCATTTCATTATAATGAAATACCTGAGGCAAGCTAGCTTTATTAAAAAAATGTTTATTTAGCACACAGTTTTGGAGATTCAAGAGCATGGCACTGGCATTGGTATGGCTCTGATGAGAAGCTCATGATGACTAGCAGGAATGCATATGAGAGATCACACTGCTGAATAGGGAGCCAGAGACTGAGGTCCCATAATCTCTTTTGAGAGCAAACCTCTATTAACTCAAAGATTTCCCAGTGGGTTCCACCTCTTAAAAGTCTATCACTTTCCACAGTGGGAACCAAGTCTCTAATACATGAACCTTCGGGGGACGAAAACATCCAAAACCACAGCAGGAAGTATTGAATTTTACAAAGCAATATATAAATTTCACAGATCCTTTATCAATTTTAAATCTTAACAATCATGTCTAGATGACAGCTGAGTGACTTCATAAGATGTTTATCTCAACAGTGCCTCTGGTGAAGGTCATTTTTCTATTTCTGGTTTATCAAATGATGAGCTGCTGGTAACTATGCATGAAAAATATTTTACAGTGATCCCTAATAAAAAATTAACATCAAAGGAATAGAGACAGAAAGCTAAGAAGTTGTCAATATGGGCTTCTGTTATTTGCAAGGACTTTTACTTTTATATTCAATTATATATTTTCTCACAAATGGTAGTTTCTTTGCTTATATTATCTCTAGCAACATTTTATGTGTATAAAGATCTTACCTGAATACTTATCCTTTAAGTGTGCCTCTAAATCTGACATCTTGACAAAAGTGGGTACACTATTTTGAAATTTTGTTTTAAATGTAATTGCCCTTATATCATCATCAAACAGACATTCACAGGATGACCAAGGCGTTGTATGCAACTCTAGGGTTTCCAGTATGCAGTTGTGCTGAACCAAAAGATATTTAAATTCCCAAATATAATCTTAAACAAAAACAAATAAAAACAAAAGGTTATCCAAAGGGAAAATGTCTAGGTTCAGAATCAGATTAAACAGGTTAGCTTAATTGAATCACTTAAATATAACTTTTATGACTTAAGAATTTGGGCATGAAGAGACAAAATATAAATGTTGTTTAAAAGCAATAATATAAGAATGTTAGAGATAATTTTGTTTGGTTTTGTTTTTGGTACTGGGTATTAAACCCAGAGGCCCTTAACCATTGGGCCACATCCTCAGCCCGTTTTAAACTTTTTTTTAATTTGAGAGAGGGTCTCACTAAGTTGCTGAGTCTATCTTTGAACTTGCCATTCTCCTGCTTCAGCCTCCCAAGTCACTGGGATTATAAGAATGCCTAACCTAGAGATAATTCCAGTAAAGAATTTTCTAAAAATTTCTTGATCACCTAAAGTCATAATTTATCACAACAAACTGTTTTATAGAATAGCAAATTCTCATTTTAATAGCTACAGGCAAATATTTTTAGGAGGTATTTTTTAAGAAAATTGAAATGGACACAGGTCTACCATAAGCAATGTTTCACTGATATTTCAATACCTTTGTTATCATATTTAGCTGACTTTTCCAGAATGATAATAAAAAAGCATTTAAATATAGTAGCACCTACTTAATTATCTCAGTAATAATGCTAACTTTTAAACACAGTAGCAAAGATCTTCTTGCCAAGTAATCATTATATATTAGTAAATTCAACTTTAAAATGATAATAAAAAAGGAGATTTCTCAACACTAACTTTTCAGATAATAACAGCTGCCTGTTTAGTTTCCCACTTTAGGCCATAAATCTAATTCACTCCTACCCACTTAGCTCCTTAGGTTTATTCATTAGACTGTGTGTGTGTGTGTGTGTGTGTGTGAGAGAGAGAGAGAGATTAAACGAGTCAATAAATCTGTACAGACAGACTCATTACATAGAATTAAAGCATAAATATTACAAGTTACTGCTTAAAACCAATCACTTCTAGCTGATGCTATAGGCTGGGTATGTAGCTCAGTGGTACAGCACTTGCCTAGCATGCTCTAAGTTGCATCCCCAGCACCACAAAACAAAACAAACAAAAAACCAATTGCTACTTTTAAAATAGCCTTATTGTCTTATTAAAAAATACATGCTTTGGGGCTGGGGATGTGGCTCAAGTGGTAGCGCGCTCGCCTGGCATGCACAGGGCGCTGGGTTTGATCCTCAGCACTACATAAAAATAAAATAAAGATTCTGTGTCCACCGAAAACTAAAAAAGAAATATTAAAAAAAATTAAAAAATAAAAAATACATGCTTTGAAATCACAGATAAGCTAAGTAAATAAGTAGCAGCTTCATAATCTTAATACCCTAAAACAGAGTTAACACTTTTGTGGACAGTTGTTTCGGATTTTTAATTTTTTTTGCATAATGTGTCAAATACATACTTTACATGTCATTAAATATTACTCAAATTATTAAATTGTGTAATATGCCATTGCACAGACACACCAAAATCTTTAAAATTATTATAACAATCTTCTATTTTGGTATTCTTTGCTTCTTATTTTTCACTATTAAAAACAATACCATGATAGAAACATTTTCAGCTACATCTTTACAGATAGTCCTGCTCAGTTGTAATTAATGTCCTACTCAAGGAGTAATTAATGAGTCAGATACCCCAAATTATTTTATAAGGCATCTACAACTATCCTCATTTCCAACTGTTTATGGGCTATTTTCCCAAATTTTTTCCTATCAATTTCTTCCAAAAAAAAAAAAAAAAAAAAAAAATCAACCATCATTATTATTTTATTTGTCTTTAATTATTTGCAGAGTCATTTTTCATATATTTATTAGCCATTTACATTTCCTCTGTTATGCTTTGCCTATTTATATCCTTTTCACTTTATCTTTAAAGATTTTTCTTATTGAATTATTTTCATTATCTTCTGACACAATGAAAATTTTTCTGGCTTGTCACATCTTTTAATTTTGCATATGGTGGCTTTTATGTTTAATAGGTTTTGTTGCTACATTTTATTTAATTTACCAATCTTTGCATTCCAAGTAAATTCACTTCTATTTTCTTCTACTACTTGTTTCTTGTTTGAATTTCTAATGCATCTGAGATTATTTTGGCACAGACATGAAATAGAATTTAATTCTATTTTTTCCTCAAATTGTTAAATGTTCCAAATGTCAAATATTCTTTTATTCAAAAGAAAAATGTTTGGGGCTGGGGATATGGCTCAAGCGGTAGTGCGCTCGCCCGGCATGCGTGCGGCCCGGGTTCGATCCTCAGCACCACATACAAACAAAGATGTTGTGTCCGCCGAGAACTAAAAAATAAATAGTAAAAATAAATATCTCTCTCTCTCTCCCTCTCTCTCTCTCCCCCCCCCTCTCTTTAAAAAAAATAAAAAAAAAACAAAAGAAAAATGTTTTAGGTTGATTTTTAAATAATAAATTTATTATAAACCATTAAGACAGCAAGAGAAAAGAGAGGTAATAGGTGAAATAAGATTGGCTATTTTTAATAACCTGGCTAATGGACACTTAAGTTCCTTATCTGTACTTATTATTCTCACTAATCTTGTATATGCTTGAAGCTTTTACAAAAGTTTAAAAAAAATGCAGATGCACACAAAAATTCAGATAAAATTCAAACTAAAGGTATAAATAAAAAATGAAAATCAAACATAAAACTATTATACAGAATAACCACAGATAGCATTTTGTTATACATATTTTCAGATCTTTAAATGTACATAGATATAGATATACTTTTATTAAAATGGGATCCTCTTATACACCAAGTTTTATAAAGTCCTTTTTAAAAACTAAATAATACATCATGTACATCTTTCTAAGCTGGTAAATATATATATTTTGGATAGTGAATACTGTATGTGTCCACCCAGACAATAAACAACTTCCTTAACAATTTCCTGCCACTAAATTAAGTTTAAGCCCTCCTATGACTGTTACATATTATATAACTCTGTCTTCCTGGTCATAGCTTATTGAATTAGATTTAGTCTGGGCAATCAGATTCTCTTTGCTGGGAATTTGGAAATGGGACTGGTGTTTCTCCCCAACCCCGCTTCTCTCTCTCTCTCTTGTTTTTTTTTTTTTTTTGGTACTGGGGATTGAACCCAGAGGTGCTTAACCACTGAATCATAGCACTAGCCCTTTTCATTTTTTATTCTGAGACAGGATCTCACTATGATGCTTAGGGCCTAAGTTGCTCAGGGCCTCGCTAAGTTGCTGATGCTGGCTTTGAAACTGAGATGCTCCTGCTTCAGCCTCCTTAGTTGCTAAGATCACAGGCAAGTGCCACCATGCCTGGTAGGATTAGTCCCTTCTTCTTCTTTTTTTTTTTTTTAAGAGTAACTTTTTTTTTTAAGTTGTGGTGCCAGGGATGGAACTCAGTGCCTCATGCAAAATCAGGAGCTAGGGAGTAACCATCCTCTGCTTTCTATATTATGGAAAAGCAGAGAAATTCTAAGTTCTAATAAATAATTTCAGATAAAGCAGATATACAGAGAAGCTCCTGGGGACTGCTGAAGGGTTTAGGTTCCTGGTTCTAAGTGCCCCTGGAATCCACCAGCACTCTTGCCATTGGCTACTAAGTGTCACTCCACATACTTTAAATTGTTTAAAGTTAGCCAGGATGGAATTCTAGTTCTAATACAAGCCATTAGAACCCAAGTTCAGTACTTAGTTTTTTGTTTGTTTAGTCCTGGGAATTAAACCCAGGATTTGGTGCATGCTAGGCATAGACTCTATCACCTCTACCTATAATTCTTTTTGATACATCCCAAGGATTGCAAAATCTTCAAATGCGTACATTTTTATTTTTAGCCTTGTGATTTTTTTCCTTACTATTTAAAAACCAGCAACTTTATTTCCTCCTCAGACTTGGCTCTTGACTTGAGAAATTTGAATGGCTGACTGACTTGTATTTTAATCTTCATTCATAGAGAAAATAACTACTAGCAGTGCAATGCGATGGAGATACCCAGTGGGTGAACAAGCTAGTCAATGTTCTTGTATTCATAGAATTTCTACTGTAGTAAGAAAATTAATCAATAAGGAAGACAATAAGCTAGAATGGAATGCAAAGGGTGATCTGCCAGAGAGTAATTATGTACATTCCTGTGTGAGGCCTCTCCGAGGATATGAAATTGGAGCACAGATATGAAGGAGCCATGCATGTGGCACAGTTGGAAGAAAAGCACTCTAGGGAGAAGCATCTAGTTGTGTACCTGAAAACAAATCTAAGATACATTTAAGACCCTGAAACAGGAGATGGTTGGCACCCTTAAGTAACAGAAAGGAACTGTGTGCCAGTTAAGTTAGCAAAATCTGAAGGAGAGTTGTATGAGATAAACTGTGATATATTTCTATATTTGAATCATGAACTAAGGAGGTAAATGGATTTCAAACCTCCATGCAGACATAACTATAACTTAGTATAACATAAAGGGTTTTTGTTGTTGTTTTGGTTTTTTTGGTGATGCTGGGGATTGAACCTAAGTCCCTGTGCATGTGCTAGACAATTACTCTATCAGTGAGCCACATCCCTAGCCCTAGTCTTTTTTTGAACATATAGTCTTACATGTTGGGATTATCTGCATATGCTCTGTGCTTAGTTATTTCATGGGAGTACCTCATGATTTGTTATATATTTGAAATATTAAGACTTCTATTAAATAATTTCAGAAAAATATTGCATGGAAAAAACATATCTGAATAGATATTTTATTTTCCTCTTAAGAAGTGTACTTTATGTCTCTAGTTTACCCTCATTAGGACCTTAACCAATGCTTGCTACAGATGAAGCATGATCAATCTCTACTAGCAATGCATATTGCAAAGGATTGTGAATTTTCTTATTATTTTTTCTAAAAATATCAACTCTGTAATCTTCTATAATGACTATATAATTTTTTATTATACCATCTAAATGTCAGTTTGTTATCCTTAGGACCAAGTAAAACCAGTGCCTCATACAGAGGTAAATACTGAGAAGGTCTCAAGAAATATTAAATGAATAAATAGAATGTTAACAATTTCTGAAAGCAGAACCACTTACTTAAATGTCCTTCAAAACTGGTATTTTCTATAACAAAAGAAATGTCTTGAGGTATTAAAATGGATGTTAAAACTTTAAAACAATGGTAAAACAATCATAAGCTGAATTAACAAATGAATAAAGAACAAATACAGCTTAATTCTTTAATTCATATTTTCAATATTAACCTAAATACCATAGATAATCTGGAAACAACTTTAATTTCTCTTCTATTACTAAGTAACTATTAACATTAAATGGCTACACACAATGAGCTGCTTTGCTACAGCTCCAATATAACCCTGACCTACATTTTTGTTTAGCATGCACTAGACTCATGTTCCAAGCTGTGACATGGTGGTCAATGATCACACTCAGTATACTAATACATGTTTGTCAGATTTCTCAACAGAACAAACATCTGTCACTGTTTGATCCTAGCATAAAAGTCAAAATCAGACTTATCTCAAATCCTAGTTATAGGCTATTAATGATTAAAAGACACAATGTGACAGATCCTATCTTCAGGTAACTATTTGGTAGGAAGAAGTTTGGAAAGAGACATTAACTCCTTCCGGTAAAAACTAATGGTTTGTATGCTCAATCAATCTCTATTAAATTTGCAGGGCAAAACAATTCATAAACCATTATTAAACTATCTCAACTAAAGGATCTCACAATAGCAAAAGAATTGCTACAACTAATAGATCTCCCAATAGCAAAAAGAAGTTATACTATTTTATTAATACATCAATACCATTTAGTGCAATGCACCATAAATTATCAATTTATGCTTTAGAAAAATGTAACATCAAGTCATCTTTTTAAAATGATCATTCTATTATGACTCCAGTTTTAAAAGAACTGGAATAAAACCCTGAAATATGGTAATTTATTGAACAATAACTGTGACTTCAAAGAGTTAATATAACTGCCCTAACATCTGCCTTCTAACCAAAGAGAAGTTTATTTATCAGAGCACTTTGGCAGGAAAAAAAAAACTGCAGAAGCTTCTTCAGACTTAAATTTTTCAAGAACATTATCTGAAGGGGATAAGATCTTCACTAAGAAAGGTAAAGTAGTATACCTGGAGATAAATATAAGCCTTTATTTTGCCAGCATTAATTATAGATACTAACTATTTAGATAATTGTAGATAATAATTACTTAATTGCTAAGAGGTACAAAATTATAAGAAATTTTCAGAATATTATTCAATCATCATTTATATTTCAAATGTTAACTAATGTCTACAGATTCTCTTCATCTTAGGCTCATAAGCATTAATCATTTACCAAAATATAAATAGGTTAAATGCTTTTTTGGTGTATTTACCTTTTTTCCTTTGAAGTTGAGGGTACCAGGCTGCTCCAAGACCCCATAATACAAGCACATAGTGTTGACCTTGGGCCTGTTCCACTGTTAACATAACTTTCCTTTGCTTCTGTCCTCTGTAAGTGTATAATGATTCTGGAAAAGGAAAAGAAGAAAATGTGGATTGGGCTTAGTTTTAGCACAGGTGACATTATAATATCTCATGACAAATAAATAGTGATAACTAGATGATAAACTAAGATGGTCTTGTATCTTAATCTTTTTATAATCTAAAATCAAAGAGTCACTCCAAATGTTTACCTGTCAGTATAGTGATATCCACAACTCTTAGTACTGCATGGACTAATCTATCAGGTTGTAGTCGCTCCAATTCTACAAACTCTATACTGTTCACTTTCTGAGGCTGCCTCTGTGGAAGATCTTCAAGATAAAAATGTTTTGAGGACACATATGCCAGTAAATCCTGAAGTGCAACATCACTAACTATATTGGAATCTAAGGAAGGAAAAAAACATACAAACAATGGACAAAGAATGGCAACATCATGTTTTCTTGATAATGCATAATATTTTCTTAGAACTAAATTTTATGTTATAAAGTGTGATTAGACATAAAACCTGACTTAATTTGTACATAAACATATTCTTAAATCAGCTTAAATGCAAAAACAACAGTTGATATTTTTCAGCAATGGAAACAGAATTATTTACTATATCAAAAAAAAGTCTGCTCTTTTCCCCTTCTTCTCTATTTGGTTAAAAATATCATTTTTGGGGCTGGGGATGTGGCTCAAGCAGTAGCGCGCTTGCCTGGCATGCGTGCGGCCCGGGTTCGATCCTCAGCACCACATACAAACAAAGATGTTGTGTCTGCCAAAAACTAAAAAATAAATATTAAAATTCTAAAAAAAAAAAAATAAATAAAAATATCATTTTTATACTAATTAGCCAAGCTTAAAACTCCCATCATTTTTTGACTCCTCCACCAGTGTGATAATATTCATTGGTTTCCCAATCCCTTGAGCATGACTTGTCTTTCCCATCTATCCTGACCACTGCCATTCCTCTACAAGCCCCTTAGCACTTCCCATTGGAAATAATCTACAAGACACCTAACTGGTTCTCTCCCTGAACACGCCCTTCCTTTTCCCATGTTTATGCAGCTGATGATGAGCAGCTGTAATGCTCTCACTTTGATTAGACTTCAATGCTTTCATGTTCTTTCACCATCTAAATACCACATATTTTAACAACCACTTCAGGCTCACAGGGACTTTTCCTCCTCTAAATTCAAGATTTTTTTTTCTCTCTAACTCTCATTTGGCATTTAAACATGTGCCACATTGCAATAATGCTCAATTGTAAGACTGGTTATTTAATTCTTCAGTCATATTTAAATTACTATCTTGTCTCAATTTTTTCTCATTTTTGAGGCATACTTTACATACAGTAAAATATATGATTTTGAAATATACAGATTGATAAATTTTTTAAATTTTAACTTGTTCTATATGCTAACAGAATGCATTACAATTCATATAACACATATAAAGCACAATTTTTCATATCTCTGGTTGTACATAAAGTCACACCATTCATGACTCATTCCACCGTCTTTCCTTCCCCCAGACTCCTCCCTTCCCCTCCCTCCCCTTTACCCCATCTAGAGTTCACAGATTGATGAATTTTGATGTCTAAATTTTAATTTCCCTGAAGGAAAATGCTTGCTTGATTACTGACAAACCATAAGATACTGGCAAAAAATGTACTTGTTATTTTTTAGAAAGCAGAATTTATAAGCTGATTTATGATTCCTCTTTTCTTCTATTAATTTGCTCATCATTGTATACTCCGTCAGCTAGATAAACCCTCATTATTCACTCACTCTTCAGTAGATTATCTACTAAGGGCCAAGCACTATATCAGGTACTAAAAATACAGAAACAAACCATGTCACAATCTCAACACTGAAGGAGTCATTGACCTACAGATGGACAACAACAAACACTGGCCACATGATGTAAGGCATGTAGGTAAGCATTCCTAAGAGCACAGAGAAAAAGAACTCCCTGGGAAAGCTGGGAGAGGCTTTAATGAGGGAATACTTGAGCAGGGTTTTAGGAAAATGTCTAAGAGTTTTTAGGTCAAGAGTTGCTTTATATTTCAAGATAAATAGAAGGAGTTATAAATCTATAGATGCTTTTGATAGTCTGATGAAGCATTCGAAGTCCTATCTAAATAATATTTATTATAATAGTCTTCCTGCATAACAATATACAGCAGATTATCTACTACTGTAATTTTAAAGTAATGATGGTATACATGATATTCAAGTTATCTTCAATAATTGTACTGTAAGTGGGGTTATGACTCGGTAGCAGAGCACTTGCCTCACACATGTGAGGCACTGGGTTCGATCCTCAGCACTACATAAAGATAAATAAACAAAATAAAGTTTAAAAAGAACCCAGATATTAAAAAAAAAATTATACTGTAACATGATAATATATGTGATTTAATACTGCTAATATCAATGCATATTATTGTCTTATTTGCAATGCAATGACATGTTAAATTTAAGGGGAGAGTAAAGAAAAGATTTCTAGCCAGCTGAGTTGATGGATTAGAATAAATGTTTGAAAAGTTTTAGAATATGATAAAAAGAAACATACCCTAACTAGGATTACTCAATTCCCAAATGAATTCTATGGAATAATGCTGATCTCACTTACAAAGATAATATATGTAAGAAAAAGGACAGCATGAAAAATGAATGAGGGGAACAATAGCAAGAAGTCAATTAGATTACAACACCACCCAACTTCAAACTTCCATAGCTCCAAATTATTAACCAGACCGAATTCTTCCACAGTATTTCCAGCACATCCGGACTCAGAAAAGCTGGGTTAAAATTCTGACTTTGTCAATAATGAGCTCTTGTAATTCTCTGGGCCGTTAGGGAAGAAAAGTACATATACTTTGGGGGGCTCTGTGTTTTGCATGTAACAGTATATCCTGGAAATGACTCATATCTTTTTCATTCTTTTTTACAGCTGCATAGTATTCCACTGTGTGACTACATTACATAATCATCTTCCTAAGTATAAGCATTTAGATTTTTAACAATGTTTTGCAATTATAAACTACTGCAATGAATAAACTTGTGGATATGTAATTTTCATATTATTGGAAGTATATCTCCAGGGAAGATTCCTAGAAGTAGGACTGCTACTTTGAAAGCAAAGTGCATATGTAATTTCATTAGGCACTGCCAAATATTCTCCAGAAGGGTCTAACAATTTTTGTTCCCACCACCAATGTGTGAGAATATCTGTATACCCACAGCCTCATCAAAAGAATATGTTGCCATATTTTTAAAATTTTACTAATAATTGAGAAATTATATCTCCCTAAAGTTTTAATTTTAATGTCTTTAATTAAAACTGAGTGAATTATGTTTGAGGGCCATTTCTAAATTATTTTTTGAAAAATGCCATTCATTTCTTTTCCCTGTTTTCTCATTTCCTCTCAGTTCCTTTGTCACTCAATTTTTTAAAGTTCTTTATATAATGAGATATTAGCCTTTTGTTTAGAGTAATGTTGCAAATATTTTCTTCAAGTTTGCCAGTTGTGTTTTGGCTTTCTTTGCAATGCTTTTGGTCATGAAAAGGTTTATTTCTCTGTAGTCCAATTCATCAGTCTTGCCTTACTGTGTCTGGATTTTGAATAATATTAAGAAAGTCTTTCCCTATACCAAGATTAAGAGATTCAACCATGTTTCCTTCTAGTAGATGATTTTATTTTTTACATTTAGCTTCTCAATCTGTTTGGTATTTGTTATTCTGTTTGTTATGACATGTTCCTAATTTTATTTTTTGCCAAATGGTTACCCAGTTGCCTCAACACTATTAAAAAGTTACCCTTTATGTCAATGATTTCAGATATGACCTCTGACATACTAAATTGCTTCATGGATGTGGGTCTAATTCTGATCTTCCTATTCTTTTCTACTAGTCTACTTTATTCACATACCAGTAACTCACTGTTTTAATCATAGAGGTTTTAATATTTCAATGTCTGGTAATACTGTCTCCCCTCACAGTTTTCCCTTTTCAGTGTTTTCCTAGCTACATTTGCATATTTGTTTTTCCATATGAATTTTATTATCAATTTTTATATGCCATAATAGTACTTGTTGGTATTGGAACCTCATTCAATTTATACATTAACTTAGGGAGAAATGACATAACGATGTTGAATTATCCTACCCAAGAAAAGGAAGATCTTTCCATTTACCCATGTATTCATTTCTTTTTGGAGTGTCTAAAATTCATCCTCATATAGGTCTGGTACATTACTTGTTAAATTTATTCTGAAATATCTTCTTGATTACTATCGTAAATGAGTTTTTCCCTATCATTCTGCCAATAGTGTTTTAAACACACTGATCTTTTCAACATTAATTTGTGTCCTGCTGTATCATTGAATTCTTTTACTGTTTGAATTAATTGTTTTTTCATTCCCTAGAGACTTCTAGTTAGGTTATCAAAGCATTTATAAATAGAGATATTGTGCATTCTTCTTCACCCATTCAGATGCCTCATCTTGTCTAACTGCTATGAATAATAACTTTAGTATAAAATGCACAGTTGCACAGATAGTGGACATCTTTATCTAGTTCCTAATGTTAGCAAAAATTCCTCTAGTATTTATTTATTTATCTGTTTGTTTGTTTACTGGAACTGAAGATTGAATGTGGGAGCACCTTACCACTGAGCAATATATCCCCAATTATTTAAATAAGTTGCCAGTGCAACTTATTTAAATAAATTGCTAAGGAGCTCACTAAATTGTTGAGGCTGGCCTTGAGCTTGCACTTGCACTCCTACTGCCTCAGCCTCCCAAATCTGGGGATTACAGGCATGTGCCACTACATGCAGCCCTCCAGCATTTTTTCTTTAAATAAGACATTGGAATTTGAAACAGTATATCTAATTTATTAATGTGATATTGTATTAAAATGTTACATTGATACTTATTGATACTGAAGGAGAAAGTATCCTTTAATACCTGTTTCCTGGAGTGTTTTCTTCAAAGGGTATTGAATTTTGTTAAAGCCTTCTTCAAGGCCGCGAGGTGGCCCCCACTTGTAATCCTAGCATCTTGGGAGGCTGAGGCAGGAGGATCTCAAGTTTAAAGCCAGACCTTTTAAAAATATTTTTTTAGTTGTAGATGGATACAATACCTTTATTTTATTTGTCTATTTTTATGTGGTGCCAGGGATCAAACCCTGTGCCTCACACATGCTAGGCAAGTGCTTTACCACTGAGCCACAACCCCAGCCTGAAAGAGCACGTTATTGTTATTTTTATTTTTTTGTGGTGCTAGGGATTGAACTCAGGGCCTTGTGTATGCAAGGCAAGCACTCTACCAACTGAGCTAAAGTCCCAGCCCTCTCTTTTCTTAATCACATAAGGTAGTTAGTTTATCTGTTATTTTTAAAGTAGAATTCTAATTTATTAATTACATTTATTGTTTATCAATTCTCATTCTCATAAATTCCTGCTTTTATCCTCACCATTTTATTTCTTATGGTTTCTTTGGATGACTTGGTTGTTCTTTGGCAAGTTTTCTGAGCTTAGGATTTAACTATTTTTATTCTTTCATTTTTACTTAAAAGTGTTTACCTAACAAATTTTTCTCTTATATCTGCTTTAAATGTATTTCATAGATTCTAATATATCATGTTTTCATTGTTATTTTTTAAATGTTGTATCAGTTTGTATTACCCTTTCATCCAGAATTTGTTTAAAAAGTTTTAAAACTTGCAAATAAACAATCTTGTTTTATTAATAAGTTCTAGTTTTATAGCACTTGGATAGGCATTTTTGTTATACTCCTTTTAACACTTTTGTTATACTTTATGGAAGTCACTAGTATTTTCTTTGTGAGCTAAAGTATAGAATCAATTTTTCTGAATGTATTGGGGGTACAAAAGAATATGTATTACTAGTGTAGAGTTTGATTAATATCTAAATGATCAAATCTTTGCACTATGTTGTTTAGATTTTTTATCTCCTTAATTATAGTTTATACATTAGATCTGTCCTATACTACCAAGGAAATACAAACTAATCCTATGATGAGATATTACTGCACATCTACCAGAATAGCTAAAATAAAAAATAGGATAACACCAAATACTGACTAGGATGTAGAGAAACTGGAAGATATATTACTGGTTAAAGTTTTATTTTGATGGGATTTTACTACATTGCGGAGGCTAGCTTCCAACTAGCAATATTCCTGCCTTGATTTCTTGAAGCTGGGCCTATAGGTACATGCCATCACACCTGGCTTACTTATTCATTTACTTATTTATTTTTGCAATACTTAAGTTGAACCCAGGGCCTTACACATGTTAGACAAGTGCTCTACCACTGAGCTACATCCTCTGGCCATGTTAAGAATTTTAAATGGAACAGTCACAGTGGAAGAGTTTGGTAGTTTCTTATAAAACTAAATATATACTTGCAATACAACCCAGCAACTACACCTTTTGACATTTATGCCAGAGATGTAAAATTTTATATTCACAGGAAAAACCTGTACTCAGATTTCATATTTGCTTATTCTTAATATCCCACATTGGGAAACAACTCAAATGTTCTTCAACAGATTAAGCAAATGCTGGTAGATCCATATAATGGAATACTATTCAACACTAAAAAAGAAGTAACTAGGGGCTGGGTTTTAGCTCAGTGCTGAAGCACTTACCTAGCATGTATGAGGCACATGAAAAATAAATAAATAAAGGTATTGTGCCCATCTACAACTGAAAATGTTTTTGTTTTTTTTTTAAAGAAGTAACTAGAGATATATGCAACAATATGGTACAGATCTCAGGGCATTATATTTAGTGAGAAATGCCAGTCTCAAAAGATTACATGCAACATGATTCCATGTATACAACATTCTAAAATGACAAAACCACTGAGATGGAAGACAAATTGGTGAGAATAGAGTTAAAAGGGGGAGGGTTATTTTTCCATAGGAATAGAATGTAGAAATCGACAGTGAGGAATTGGAATAGTGGTCCACTTTATGCTTTCAATATGGCCCTTGTTCTGCCAGTGCAACTTATTTTTAGCATGAACATGTTTCTTTCTCTTCTTCTCTCCCTGCTCCTCCCTAATCTCTTTCCCTCCTTAATCTCAACAGAAACAGGATTACAGTTCTTCCCCATTTTAGGCAGATTTATCTATCCTTGAGTACACACCTACCATAGGAAGGAAATAATCCAGACTTTGGGGATGGTACCAGAAGATCTCAGAAATGCCTGTCTCCCAAATTACTAAATGAATTACAATTCCAACAGAGAACATGTGGAATGTAGCCTTTGATTCACCTCTTTAAAAGCCTTGTTCCTGCTAATGGGCAAAAATCACAGCCTCTGGAACAGGAGACCTGGTGTTTCTCCCTTACTAGCAAAGCAATAAACCTTTTCTCCTTTTACTAAAAAAAAAAAAAAAAAAAAGGAGGGGGGCGGTTGCAACTATAAGATGACATGAGGGAGTTCCTTTGTGGTGATAAATCCATTTGGTAACTTGGATTATGGTGGTTTTAACACGAATTTATACATAGACTCAAACTGCAAAGAACTACACACACACACACACACACACACACACACACAAGTGTATGCCAAAACTAATAAGGTCTCTAGTCCAGTTCAACAGTACTACACTGTTGATTTCCTGGTGTTCATATTATACTAAAGTTATATGTCACCATTGGGAGAAGTTGGGTGAAGCATTCATGGGATTTTTATTATTTCTGTAGTCCCCATGAGTCTATAATTTCACAAATAATATTTTAAGATTAAAAGTTTTTAAATGAAATAAATGAATATCTATATGCCAATAATTTAAATTTGTATCCTAATTTTAAACCTCTGAGTCTTGGACTTTGTATCCAGTTCCTATGTGATACTTCTACTTGGATGCTCCAAAGATATCTCCATTTTAAATGCCTGAATTAGAACCTTCCATTGTACTCATATACCTGTATTTCATTCTTTGCCAATACAAGCCACCAAGTGACTTAAACCAAAAGTCTCTTATTAGTAGATTGCTTCTCTTCCCTCATCCCCAAATCCACACCATCTGGTTAACTCTCTACAAATTTATCTCCAATCTATCCATTTCTCTTTATCTCCACTATAAGTATTGTGTAATTCCCTAACCCTCTGAAATTCCACTCCATGAGCAACACTTCCCAACTACAACCATGATATTCTTCTATATCTTAGTCCTTTATCAGTTTTCTCCACTATTATTTGCAAATACTATATATATATATATAAAATTCTCTTTTGTTTATTTCAGTATATCTTCCACAGAAGAATGTAAGCTACCTGAGGGCAGGCATCGCTGTATCCTTAATGTACTGTTAAGCATAGTGCTTGAAACAATATCAATACATAATACATACATATTGGATAAAGAACTGATTTAGTTATTTTATGAAAATGTGTCATTATTAATTTTTTGCTGAAGAACTCTCAAGAATACAGTGAACTCTTACCTTTTCTCAACACAGTGGTATCAGTATTCTAATTGCTGAATTAATTGCTGGAATTCTATGCTCTACCCTCCATAACTTCCTATTATTCTAGTTAAACTCTGGTATAATCAGATTTTCCTAGCTATTTTTCTATTACACTATTACAGTATTCTATCTACTATATTTTGCTAACTTACTATTTCTCCCATTGATCTTACTATACTGTTATTATATGCAGTTTTGATACCTTATATTTTTTCTTTCAATCTTCACAACAACCCTATTAGGTATGTGTATATTGTTTCTACTTCACAACTAAGGAGACAGGGATAGCAGGATTAAATATCTTGGATAAAGAAAAGACTTTGGAAGTACTAGGGTCAGGATTCAAATCCTGGCCTCTTAAATTCCAAATATTGTTTCCCTACTTTCTTTTCTTATTTCCTGGAGAAAAAGATAGCTGCAATTTTCTTCATTCAACAGCTTATTTTAAAGAGGAGAAAACAATTATCAGAGAAGGAAAATAGTTTTTCCTAGCAATGGTAGATTGAAAATAAGGATTCTAGCCACAGCTGACTGACTCAAGCATTCTTAATCAAACACTCAGAAATTGCATAGAAGAACTTCAGAAGTCTATGGAGTGGCTTAGGATTTGTAAACAATTTTTTTTGTCTACCTATGTAAGTCCATTTTTCTACAGAAAGGGCCCACAGCTTCTCAAAGAGGTCTATAACTTCCTAGATGATGAAAAACTACCACCATAGTAAGAATAAGAAGGTAAGGGCTGTGGTTGTGGCTCAGTGGTAGAGAACTTGCCTAATATGTGTGAGGCACTGGGTTCGATCCTCAGCACTGCATAAAAATAAATCAATAAAATAAAGGTATTGTGTCTATCTACAACTAAAAATATATTTAAAAAAAGAAAAGAAGGTAAAACATGAGCCACAATGCTTTTTAAAATAATTTTGATTTAAAATTTCAAGTTTATTTTTTAAATTCCATTTTTATTCTAACAAAAATAACTGTTTAGAAAACAACCATTTTAACTCTAATCTTTCCTAGTATGTTTATACAGAAATGCTCCTCAACTTAGAATAGCTATACCCTAATAATGCCACAAGTTGAAAATATATTAACAGTTATCCTAGCTGATCAATACAACACACACTACAGTCTCAGTTGTTTCCCCTCCTGATCAGATAGGGTAGAATGGGAGCTGCAGCTCGTTGGCACTGCCAGGCTTCTCAAGAGAGTATCATAGTGCACATCACTAGCCAGGGAAAAGATCAAAATTCAAAATCCAAAGTATATGTGTATTACTTTTGTACCATCATAAAGTTTTTAAAAAATTGTAAGGTGAAGCATCATAAGTTGGGGACTGTTTGCACTTGAAATACTAAGAAATTACTATGTTTAAAATGTCTTACATTCTTTTGGCTGTACAGATGAATAATTCCCAAGATTTAATAACTGACTTGTGAATGTTGATTGGAGTATTATCTCACCAATCCATTGATCCTCATGAATAACAACATCTGAAAAGGGAAAAAAAATCTGTGCCATAAATTCCTTCACATTCTGGTAAATTTACTAATCATAGCAAAATATCATGCAAAACTCCTACACGCCAGGCAACTAAAGTTCAGATACATTAAATGACTTGCCTAATGGCAGAAAATGATAAAATGACAAATCCAAAATCTTGCAGGTATGCCTTTACATAAGTAAAAGAACCACTTGCCTCTGTATATTCAAATTATGTCAATATAGAAACTCACTGCTCTGTAGAGAAATATTTAATGGTTTTCATTTAAATAAGGCAAATGTTGTAATGTATATTTCTGATAAATTGAAAAATAAATATTTTAGGATCTGGAAGCAAAGCAGTTGTTCCAAAGCAGTAGTGTCTAGAAGTATAATAATGTTCAGTGTACATGGTCCCTTCTGCTTTGAATATATTTGAATATAAGGCAGATTTTAAAGAACTTAGTTATTTTTCCCTGAATAGCTTGGTAATTATCTTCTATAATATAAAAAGTGAAATATTTCAGAGGTAGAGAACATTTTTCATTGAGAAAAAAGGGGCTATCTGATCTAGGATAGAGAGAGAAGAATCAATTAGTGGAAATAAACATATCAACAGACAGAAATAGTTCTAGACAAAGCAAAAACTATAATAATAAGTTCTGAACAGAGAAAGAAAGAAAGGAAGGAAGGAAGGAAGGAAGGAAGGAAGGGAGAGAGAGAGAGAGAGAGAGAGAGAGAGAGAGAGAGAGAGAGAGAGAGAGATAACTACCAGGTAGGATATAATCCATGGACAAAGTGTTAGAAGCATAAAATATCAACAACAGCAAAAGAATTTGGTAAATAAGAAAAAACAAGGAGGCATAAATTCAAAGTGATTACTTCCAAATTTATATTCTAAACCCTGTCCTTAGTTTCAGGTTCTTTAATCTACAACTGCCTAATGGATATTCCCAGATAGATTTAGCAACTGGATTTTGCTTGCTTCCCACACTCAGCATTGTCCAAATCTGCTTTCCTTCCATATTACCCATTTCAGGTAAACCAAAACCTGAGGTTATCCTGCATCTTCCTTCACACCTTTGTCCCCAAACCCCCACCAGCTGACTCTGCCTAGTGGACCTGCTACTGCCTTTACCCTCCTGCTGCTTTACATCATACGTTCCTCTCTTAATAGTTCCCAGTACTCCTTTCAATCCATGCCCCACAATGCTGACAAGTGATTTATTACGAACATTAATGGGATCAAGTGACTTGCTTAAGGAACACTCAGAGAATCCCCAATACTTAACCAGGAAGAGTTAGTAAAGCTTTCAAGACTTTTCATTGCATTGCAAATGTAGCTCAGTAGTAGAGTATTTGTCTAGCATATATGAGGCCCTGAGTTCAATCCCCACCACTGCAAAACAACAAGAACAACAAAAAAGACTTTTCATGTTTTGACACTCAGATTGCTGGCTCTTCAGAAAAAAAGTAGCAAATGAGAAATTCCATAAGAAATTTCTCCAGGAATTTTCCTCCTGGAAAACTTCTGAAAACTAAGGTTGCAAAACCTATGTTAGATTAGTGGTGATAGTGGGACATGGGGAGTGGTAGCCCAGCCTTTGCCTCCTGGTTTCCATTTTGCCCATTCACTGCTATGTCCTAGTTCCTAACTCCTCTTCTTCAGTCTGTTCCTTAAAATCTGTGATTTCCCAGATTAAGCCTACCTCCTTTTCTTTAACTCTAGTCAATAGTCTCCCACAGACAAGCCATATTTATAGCATCTCTTAGTTCTACTGTAATCAAAAACATCTACTGTGTACTAAAAGGAACATGTTCTGGGACATATCTGTTATGTAAAATGTTTCAGTTTGGGGATGTATATCAATAGATAGTATGAGCTATCCAAGACAAAGATATAATAATATACAATTGGATGCTATTGACTAAAACGGGTGCATTCATAAATGTCCATGCAAATATAATCCACTATTTAATTAGGGCTATGGAAAAAGACTGATTCTTTTCTAAGTTTCCATCTTTTCCACACAAAATAAAACTTATTCAGAAAACAGTAAACTAGATATATTTTTCCTAAGAATGTAGAATAAAAAACTGATATTTTTAAAAGGTCTTCAGATATAACCTAAATGTCCTATAATAGAAAAATAGTTAAGTAAAATCTAATAAAGTCACTTGATAGAATGTAACCTAGTTGTTAACAATTGTATAAAACATTAGGGGGAGAAATACAGAAATAGTAAGGTCAAGTTTCCATCTACTAGGAAAAGGTCTCCGGGAAATTTCACAAAGTGAATGACTATGGCAAATGACTATGTAAAATGACTATCGTCCAGACTCTAGCCCTCTCTCCAGAGACTCAGAATGCTAACTCATCTAAATTCCAAAAGTGGATATCAGCTCTGTAACATAAGCACATATTAAACAGGTTAATGAGACAAGAAAATCAGAATTCAACTTTTTTCATTTACAATGAAGTATTAATAACTAAAGAAAATACTACAATCCCCTCACCTTGTAAACAGTTCTACAGCTGGGAAGCCAGATTACAAGAGGTATTCAGCACTGAGTTAGATAGAATAGGAGTTAAACAGACTCTCCAACAATAACAACATATAAATAGTGGTATGGGACTATGCTAAGCTTGTTTATTACAAACTTCCTTTTCCCTCTTTATTAGATTATCCCTCATAATTCTAGAAGAACATCAGATACATTAACTAAGGTTCTCATTTCCTCTATAAACCATTTCTAAGACTACTGCTATTAAGTACACAAAATTATAAGAAAATGAAAAGGAGCCCAATGATATGACCTAAACATTTACATGGTGAATAAATAAGAGGCAGCAAACAGGGAAAGCTTCTTAAAGAAGATGTATAGAATGGCAGTGCAGAACTAAGCTTAGAACAGAGGCCCAGAAATGGCAATGATACCGGGCAACATAAGCAGACTAAAGCAATGCTACGAGACAGCAATCATGCTGGGCCCCCAGGAGGCAAACGGTAAAGTAAGAATCCTCAAATACCTAAAGTAGGATAAAACAAACACACACAAAACCATGGCTTTATAAAATAAGTCACCACTAAACTTTGATAACCTCACCTGTGAGTAAAATTATATCTCCGAGAAATACTGTAAGTGCCCAAAATGCAGCAGTTCTCCACAGAAAAACTTTCTTCTTAATTTCTGATTGATCAATTACTATAATTGTTGCTAAAGGCACTTTAGATCCAGAATTGGGTCCAGATTTTATGTTTATTTCTTTCATCTGACTTGGAGTTAACACCATAGCTAAACAATTATACTTCTGACTTTTAGAATCACAATTTTTTATTAATGATATTTTTTTAATACCCTTAAATTCAGACACATTCCTCTGGCTCATTGCTATGATAGAATCTCTTGCATTAGAACCCAACTTCATTTTCTTAGATACTTGGAGGACTTTAGACAGAGCTTTCGAATGGCCTGATTTATCTTCAGAGCTCCAATTTCTTTTAACAGCACTTTTGTGAAAGGTATTTAGTTGGGAACACTGTGTTCCTGAGCGACACAACTCAATACAGATCTCATTTGGTGACAGTTTATCTTCAGAACTGAAAAGTTCTTGAGATCCTATATTTTCTTCAACATCTTTTTCAGGGTTTATGTGAATGTGGCTACTTTTTTTTTCAGGACAAATAGGACTAAAAAGTTCTAAGGAATATGTTTCTTCATTTTGTCCTCTTTCATGTCCTTCTGCAAAATCATCATTAGGCTGAATAAAACTATCTTCAGTTATTCTTATTTCCCCATGACTTGCCTTTGGTTCAGTTTCCATGCTTATGGTCCCTTTATTTATAGAATTCAGAGCTCTATCCTCCCTTTGAGCTAAAAAAGCAACCTGGCTGGAGATCATTATACTCAGAAATTCAGTGTCAGTAGATATTTTAAGTTTTGAGACATTCCTAACTGCTCTATCAGACCTTGGCTCATCCACTGCATTAGAGGAAAAGAAGTCCAGACACTGGTTTTGCATTTCATGGTGTTCTGTTGGCTTATACTTTGTTTCTACAGCTTCAAGATCTGTATTAATTTGTTTAGTACTACCAACCAAATCCAATATAACTGCACATTTATGATCTAACCGAAAGGAATTTGTTTGAAAGTTTTGACATAAGTTTGATTGATTTTTAGGCTCTTCATCTGTAATTTTATTATTTTCACATTGAACCTTTTGATTCTTTTTTTCTTCAGGTAAATGCTGAACTGTGCCCTTAAATCCGTGTATTTGCACATTAGAATTAGTTACATCACTCAGCCCTGAAGGGTAAATCTTCTGGGATTTTATATTCTGTGTTTCTGAAGTAAAGTATGTAAAATCATCTTTAACTTGAACAGATCTACTCACAGAATTCACTAAACAACAACCACTTAAAAGATCTGGAGGGCCAGTAATAGCTTCTGAGACTTGATAGTCTTTTAGATTGTTTGGCTCATGGTTTTTGTCCTTCAGATGCAAAGAATGCTGATTGTACCAAAGTTGAATTGTTTTCCAGGGGTCTGCAGTGGACATTAAAGTTGTTTTCTGTGATACTGTCATTTCCAGTGGACTAGCTGGAGCACCCCAAAAAATGTGGACTTGAGATCCTCCACTCATAATTTCTGATAAAAATGAAAAAAACCCAAATTAATTTTTGATAGACTTTATATATAATATTAACTTAATAATGTATCAAAATAAAATATAATATAAACTGAAAAATTAATAATAATGATTTATTTTCATATGCCATTTAATTATAAAACTGAGACATACACAAGAAATCATAAGAAAAATCAACTTAGTCACAAAAAAATCTTTACCTAAAGATTCTTTCAGATAAATAAAATTAAGAATAAAACTAGCATCATACAGGTAAATATGTTCATTTCTCATCTTGTAAAAACTTGCCCCATTTAAATAACAAGTTAGTAAAAGGGAGGGGTAGCATTTGTTTAACTTATTACAATCACTTTTACATTACCTGTTTTCTTTATTCCATAGATTATCTCAGTAAGTTTTGAGCCTCCTTCTTTGAACTGTGAACTCAATTCCCAAAACCAAAATAGAAGGCACAAACTGGCAGGCAGAGAATATAAAAAAGTAAGATTTTCTTCAAAATGTAAAAGTAACTATATTTTCTATTTTCACTTCAATCTGTTAGTACAATCAATAAGAAATTGTTTCTATATTTTTACCTTTTCCATAATCAAATTAATAATAATTATCTTGTAACATATAGATAAAAGAAAAACTCAGTATCATTTAAACTTTTTTCATTAACTGTGATAACTTGAAATAAATAAATCTAAGTAAACATCATTCTTACTGAGATAAACATAAAAGAATCATATCAATGTTTGTTTATTCATAACTGACTTTAAATAATCACTTGTTAAATAGATCTATTCCTAGAATTCATTGAAAACATTTTTACAGTGTTATATACGGGCAAAAGACAGAAAAGGTTCTCAACATGAGGGAACTGTTGACCTGGTTTAAAAACAACTGGAGGGGCAACAGTGAACATAAGTTTGTAGTTTCAAAATAATGTAAGCAATACTATAACCTATAACCGGGAAATAATGATCTACTAGGGAAGAGTGCTCTTATAGAAGGTAGCTACAAGCATTTCAAACAAGAAATAGGATCTATAAAAGGGCAAAAATTACGAAAGTCTTATGAAGGACTGAGGACTTTGGTTAGGGTATAGGGTCCACTGTAAAAACATAGGAAACATCAAATCATGAAAAGCCCATGTGGAAGTACATGCAAAATGAGGTCTAAGCCAAGCAATGGCAGCTATAAACCCCTGTCACACTTAATATTTCTTGAAGATTTACTCATTGGCACCTCTTCCTAATCTGATCATAGCTCATAATTTCAATATCAGTGTGTTTGATCCTTCCTATATCCTGGCTCATCTCATGGTTCCTTGACTTCCTCTTCTCTGTTGACTTTCATTCCACCCTTATTCAGTCATCTACTTGTATAATCATACAAAATACCATTATCAATAACTGCATACCCTTTCCTAATTTCAATATTGTTTTCAACTTTCTACTCTATCTTCCAATTTTTTCCCCTCTAGATGTACAACTTCAACAGTTCTTTGACCAAATGGGATATACAATGAAAGCACTTATCTTACCAGACAGTTTACGGCCTCTTTCTTCATTTCCCTCCTTAATCATCTTAAATTCTAGAGTTTACCATAATCAATTCCTATCATGCTTTTCTAACTCTACTACTTTGATCTCCAAGGTACTTATGCAGCTACATCATCACCTACGCTGGCCAGAAGTTAACTAGAGAAAAAAATACACAATCATCTGAAAACTGATCTCATTTTAAATTTATTACCACTAATCTAAAGGCAGTATCTAGCAATACTGTCTTTCCCTATCCATTCACTCTTAAAGATAATTCTTTTATACATTTTTATATAATCTCCAGCATCTCATTCCCAACCTCCACTCACAGCTACATATTTCAATTCACAAATTCCCAACATACATCCACCAACCCAGCTCACACCAACATGGTCCCACTTTCCTACTCAGGCTCTAATAATTTTCCCTGGCTCTCCTCCGTCAGGGATTTTTCTCTGTACTGAAGCATTTCTATTAACACATGAACATGCTGTTACTTTTCCCCATGCTGTTATTCATCACTTATTACACCATGTTTTCTATTTCTATCTATAGCCAAATTCTTTGAAAGAATTATCTATACTCCCTTTGCTCCTGTTTATTCCTAAACCCACTGCACCAAGCTTTTGTCCAAATCTATAAAGAAACAACAGCTTATCTTAAGGTCTCCAATGACCTCCACACTGCCCTCTATCAACTCTAGTTTTAGCTTAATTGGCCTATCAGCAACATTGACTCAATTGGGGGGGGAGGGCGGAACCTGGGATTGAACTCAGGGGCACAGCCACTGAGCCATATCCCCAGTCCAATTTTTGCATTTTATTTAGAAACAGGAACTTGCTGAATTTAGCACCTTGCTTTTGTTGAGGCTGGCTTTGAACTCCGGATCCTCCTGCCTCAGCCTCCTGAGTCGCTGGAATTACAGGCATGTACCACTGTGCCCGGCCACTGACTCCTTCTTTTCATTAGACTTTAAGGATATCATGTCCTCTTGAATCTTGACCCATCTCAAACTCTTACCAATTGCTCTTTCTAGCTTTTGCAAGCTGCTCCTTTGCTAGCTGCTTCTCAGCTCTTCAATTTCTTGTACAAGGTCCCAGTACTTGAATCTCTGAACTCACTACCTACATTCAGTCTCAGGGCTTTAAATGGCTTCTACAGGATAATAGTCCACAACCTCTCCTTTGAATTCCTGACTCCTTATCCAATTTTCTACTTATTCCTTGCCATAAGATATCTAATAGGTATCCATACATATAAAAGGTAAAGTAGCAGGCCTGAGACTACATCCTTTTAAAAAATCTGCTTATAAAGTGACCTTGGCTGGCTGGTATCTGTGAAAGAATGGTATTTATGTAAAACAATAGAGTCAATCCTGAACACTTGCTTTCTTTCTGGAAGTTTGACATTTTGGTACTGCTAGACAGAGGCTGGCTATCTGACTCAGTCTCCTTAAAGAAATGGCTGATTCAAGGTCTGGGGCAGGAAATTACAGATGAACCTAAAATATATCATACCAGAAGCCCTGCCCCCTAAAAACAATTATAAAAGATGATTAGGATTATATCAAAAGAAATCAGAATTAACTTGAAGAAGTTCCCATTGAGCATAAACAAGGAAAACAGTGTAATGGGTTAGATCATTTCAAACATGCTTAAATCCCCATGAGTAAATAAAGAAAACTAAAGCAAATTCTCTCAATGGTCATAGGGACTTCTTTAAAGCTGATAAATGAGATTTAAAAAAGAATTTCATCCTATCTTAATAATATCCTAAGATAACCAACTATGTGATGAAAAGAAATCTTTTTTTTTTTTTTTAATTTAGTGATACTTAGAATCAAATCCATAACCTCATGCTTGCTAGGCAAACTCTCTACCACCGAGCTAAATCCCCAGTCCTTTTTAAATTTTAACACAGGGTCTCTCACCAAATTGCCCAGGACAGTCTTGAACTTGTAATCCCCCTGCCTCAACCTCCCAAGTAGCTGTAATAGGATTGAGCCTCCATGCCCAGCTAGAAATCTATCTTTATAGAGATCCTGCTAGTAACCAAAGAAAGAATGATATACTATCATCATTTTGCTAGCTGCGTCTCAGCTCCTCAATTTCTTGTACATTTGTGAATTAGTGGATCTTTTAGGCAATGATCCTTAATGGTTACTAACCTCACAAAGATAGAGACTGTAAGAAAGAGTGAAGGAAACCTATAGATTGAGACCAATTACAATGCATGGGTCTTATTTAGATCCTGACTTGGACAAACAAATGTGAAAGTATTATAAGAAAATTGGAAAAACTGAAACACTGACTAACATTTGATAAATGAAAGAATTACTGTCAGTTTATAGTGAGATAAGGCTATTGTGGCTACATTTAAAAAGCAGTATGTGCTGAAGATGAGTCTTTTCAGATAGAATAGTATTCTATCTCAGATTTCTTCATAATAACATGAGAGAGGAGGGGCAAAGGGTGTAGACAAAACAAGACTAGCCATGTGTCAATAACTGGTGAGATGAGGGTGATGAAACACAAAACAATTCACTGCACTAATCTATTTTTGTACATGTTAAAATATCCTACAATACAAATCTGTTTGTTTTTAAGAAACCACTGTTTCACATCCACAGGATTGAGAAAAAATTTGAATAGTCTGACAATACCCAAGATTGGAAAACTCTTTTTTTTTTTTAAAGAGAGAGAGAGAGAGAGAGAGAGAATTTTAATATTTATTTTTTAGGTTTCTTTTTGGCGGACACAACATTTGTTTGTATGTGGTGCTGAGGATCGAACCCGGGCCGCACGCATGCCAGGCGAGCGCGCTACCGCTTGAGCCACATCCCCAGCCCGGAAAACTCTTATGTTGGAAGAGTTAATTGGCAAACGGCTTTGAAGTATAATTTGGCAAAATACAGTAAAACTGAGGGCACACATACCATTTAAGAGAACAACTGTACTTCCAAGTTTCTACCCTGGCAAATTCTTACCCATGTATACATAAAAAAACATGTACAAGAGTGATCATGGGAGACTACAAACAATAAATTAAAAACAACTTAAACTCCATGAAGAAGAGACTGGATAAAACATGGAATATTCAGAGATACTACAACATGGCAACAAAAATAAATGAATAAGAGCTACATGTCAACACAGATCCATTTTACAAATATAATCGTAAATGAAAATGAAATTTTAAGCCAGGTGCAGTGGGTGCATGCCTGTAATCCCAACAATTCAGGAGGCAGAGACAGGAGGATCACAAGTTCAAAGCTAGCCTCAGCAACTGAGCAAAGCTCTAAGCACATTAGTGAGACCCTGTCTCAAAATAAAAAATAAAAAATGGCTGGGGATGTGGCTCAGTAGTTAACACCCATGAGTTCAATCCATAGTACCAAAAAAGTAAATAAATAAAATGTAATTCTAAGAATACAATATATAGCTAGGTGCAGTACCATATCAGCTATTTGGGACACTAAAGCAGAAGGATTGCAAGTTTGAGGCCAGCCTCAGTAATTCAGCCAAACCCTGTCTCAAAATAAAAAATAAAAGGGGCTGGAAATGTAGCTCAGTGGTAAAGCATCCCTGGGTTAAATCTCCAGTAGTAAAAAATAATAAAAATAAAAATAAATAAAAAGGTCTGGGTATGTAGCTCGGCACTAGAGGGTCCTTGGGTTCAATCCCCAAGTACACATACACACACACACACATACATATGTTTATATTTCTTTTTATTCACATATATATATTGACTTTTAAAACAACCAATGTAGGATTGTGATTACCTTTGGGATAGAATAAAAGGGATGTGATCTAGGGTACACAGAAGGTTTCAACTATACTGATCACATTTTATTTTTTAACTATATATGTTTACATAAGTATTCATTATATTGTTCAGAAATATTTTATAATATTTTTTGAATCCTACAGAGAAAAACACTAAGAAGCAAGTTTATGGATGATTTTTAAAAGAGTTTTATATTTTAAAAGTTTTACTATCATGGATAATTAATGTGTATTATTTTCATAATATCAATTTTTTGGTAATTCAGGCTTTTCTTTCACATCTTTCAACAGAATATAATGCTCCAACAGTTTCATAACAATGGTCCTATAGCTAGCATTTCAGTATGAATTGAGAACAATGATAGCCACTGTTAAGGAACTAGTAGATAAAATAAATATACTACAATTTTCAATTTGTAATAATGAATTATTATTGAGACAAAATTATAGTAATTTTAGGTGTGAAGTTTTGACTCACTGAAAATCAAAGAACTAAGCATCACTATAATTATCACATATCCCACCTTAATTTAATCCTCATAGAAAGATTAATCTGCATAAGGAGTAACAGATATATGAGATCTATTTTTTTTGTTTTTATGATTAATGCCATTATTAGATTTGCCACTAGGAGGCTCCAAATAGCACAGCAAAATCCTTCAAGTTCAAGATATATACTGAAACCAAGAAGAGAGGAATATATTATCCTGATGAACTGGAGGAAGTACTTAGATATATGCAAAACAAATTCATAAAGCTGCCAATGATAAAGAACTCTACTCTTTTAAATTTTTAGTTTCCTCTCCAATGGTTTCTTCCCTTTAGTTTCAAAATTTTTTTAATTAAAAAATTAAAAAAAAACACTTCTATCTGGTTTCTTTGTTCTCACTTCTCATTTATTTTTCAAGCCCTAATTTGACTTTTATCCCAACAATTTTGCTATAATACTTAGAAACCAATGACTTTCTAAAAGTCAAACATAAAGGTCAGTTTTCAAACCTTTTCTTACTGCCATTTGAAACTGTTTATCAGTTCTTCTTTCCTCAAATATTCTACATTTTTAATCCTAAAAGACCACCAAATTAGAAATATTTTGTGATTTATCTGACAATCATTCACACAACACTCAACACTATTTGTCAGGCATTATGGCCAAGTATTAAGAATGCACAACAAAAAAAAGGATCTTTAAAAAGATAATTATAAAGCAATGATATGAGCTACTACAGAATTAAAAGCAAGGGTGTCCTCAGAAGAGAGAAGCCTGGGACAACACAACCAACATGTAACTGCCCATTATCTGTATTTTTCATAGGCTTTTTGGACTATGGTTAACCACAAAACTGTTACTTAATTTGTTAAAGTCATTATCAACATTATTAAATCTTCAGAAAAAAGTTGTACTCTAAAGCCCAGGAAAGCTATCTAAATTGGATAACCCAAGAGATAGGCCTATTGTTGCTAATCTCCAAGACATTTAAAGAGTATATGATACTTTTTTTTTTTTTTTTTTTGAGAGAGAGAGAGAGAGAGAGAGAGAGAATTTTAATATTTATTTTTTAGTTCTCAGCAGACACAACATCTTTGTTTGTATGTGGTGCTGAGGATCGAACCTGGGCCGCTCGGGCATGCCAGGTGAACGCGCTACTGCTTGAGCCACATTCCCAGCCCGATGATACTGCTTTTGTGTCCTCAATTAACACTATCTCCTAAATGCCTGAAAATCTAACTTTCATTTCCTATCTCTATTAAGACAATAGTGAAGTCCAAATTGCCAACTACACCCAGCACTTCACCATTTCAGCTGTAAAACTCTTTCTTTCCTTAGTTTCTAGATCACTGCTCTTTCCTAACTGGTTCTTTCACTGCTCTGATTTTTCTTTCTCTACTTCTTCCTGGTGCATCTCTTCATTTCACTCATTTCTTTTTTTTTTAATTATTTTTTATTCTAATTTGTTATATATGACAGCCGAATGTATTATAATTTATATTACACCTATAGAGTACAATTTTTCATATCTCTGGTTGTGCATAAAGTATATATTTTTTTAAATTTTTTAATATTTATTTATTTATTTATTTAGTTTTCGGCGGCACAACATCTTTGTTTGTATGTGGTGCTGAGGATCGAACCCGGGCCACACGCATGACAGGCGAGCACGCTACGGCTTGAGCCACATCCCCAGCCCCCAACATAAAGTATATTCACACTATTTGTGTCTTCATACATGTACTTAGGGTAATGTTATCTATCCATCACCTCACATATTTCTGGAAATTTGTTTTTTGTTGTTTTTGTTTTTGTTTTTTTTTTTGTTTTTGGTGCTGGGAATTGAACTCAGGGGTACTCAACCACTGAGCCACATCCCCAGCTCTATTTTGTATTTTAGTTAGAGACAGGGTCTCACTGAGTTACTTGGTGTCTTGCTCTTCCTAAGGCTGGCTTTGAATTTACAATCCTCCTGACTTAGCTTCCAGAGCAACTGGGATTACAGGGTGTGCCACTGAGCCAGGCTTTTCTGGAGAATTTTATCCAATCCTACCACATATCCAACTGTGTCTTACAAATCTACATTGAACCATCTTTTTTCTTTCTCTTTCTCTCTCTCTCCTTTTCAGACCTATATTTCTAGCATCACTACATTTGACAGGATCACAGAAGAATCAAGGGCAAGATTAAAATCTCTATTTGCCTTCTAGGTTCAGAAAGATGGTGAAGCACAGTGGTAAAACCAAAGTGTCTTGAGAGTTCAAAGAATCACCCAAAGAAAGAGATGTCTGAGGTAAATAAAAATTCTACAAAGCATGTTATTTATATGTAACAATTACTTCAGTGTACCTTCACTTATTTGTCTGAATAAATACCCCTATAAATGTAGGATTCCCACCCTTCCAAAAATTAACTAGAAAGCCTCATTTAAAAATGAGTATTTTTAAACCTATTTATACCAAAGGCTGCTACTACTAAGTACCAGAATGAATAGGAGTTATGAATGTGTAAGTAAGGGGATGGACAGTGATGAGGGCAGGGGAAACAACATATTTATCATAGCAAAATTAAATACAAGAGTTAAGTAACAGATAACCGATGAGTCTCAAAGATTCTAGAATTCATTTTGGGTGTATGCAGAGGGTTAAAGCTCAGTAAGATATCAGATGAAACTTGCAAGTACATATCCATTACCACAGTTAATAATTACACAATTGCTCAATCTGCAGGAGGCCACTTCAGTCGGAAAGACCAATATGACCATAATCTTTTATCTTTAGAGTGGTCAGAGTCTGATGAATGGGTCAAAGATTTATAAAACAGGACGGACTGTATCAGCAGGTTTTGTCTTTGCAGAATAGGGCAACTAAAAAATGCTTATTACTAAATACATGGCATTAAAAGAGAGCACTTTCTCCATCTTATAACAAACTCCAAAACTGCACTATTGTAGTGGGTTATAACTATTATGAACACTTTTTGTGTCTATTTCACCAAAATACCAACAACTATAAAATTATTCAATAGCATCAACTAACAAAATGAAGAAGCAGAAGCATGGGATCATAATTAAGAACATGGTTTGGAAACAAAACAGATGTGAGTTCAAATCCCTGCTCTGCAACTTACCAAAACTGCAAAATAGAAAGCCCTGAAGTCAGGTGATCATTACATGGAGTTCATTATACTGTCCTTTATAGATCTATATATATTTGGCAAATCCATAATAATAGATCAAATTTTTCTGTCAAAGGAGAATTAAGTTTGTTAATTGAAAATAACATCAATTACTTCCATAGAGTGCTATAATGAGATGGTATACAGTAATTACTCAATAAATAATTAGTTTTTTATAGTCTTATACCTAGGAAACTCTATACATACATACTTGATGACAAAATCCCCTGGATTTCTTTCATGTGTTTGTCTTTAATGTGTATTTTTACACAGTGGTAATGATAAAATTGAAATAATTTGTATTCTGCTTCAACCAATACATGCCTACCCTTCTATGTCAACTTATAATCTTAATAATTTTTAATACTTGCTTGGTATCTTAAAGATGAGTCTCATTTAACCATTATTTCTAATTTATTAACTTGTTTCTTTTATTAATTTGCATTTTAATTGACAAGGAAAAATAGAATATCTTTATGGTAGAACACATCATGTTTTGATATATGCATACATTGTGAAATTCATAAATCAAGCAACTTAGCATATGTATTACCTTACCTATATATCTTCTATTTATCTTGTATTTGTATGAAACTTAAAATCTACTCTTAGCAATTTTCAACTATATATTAACTTCAATCACTGTAATGTATATTAACTTGTTTTCAATTTATCATTATGAAAAATAATGCTACAATAAATTATTTAGCTCATTTAGATCACTTTTCAATTATTTTCTTTTGATAAACTCCTAGGTATGGGATTACTAGATTCATTTTATGTACATTTTATGACTATTAATATTTATTATATTGCTGTTTGCTAAAGAACTGGATGGCTTATAATGCCACCAACAATACCTGAGGGTACCAGTCTTACCATAATATTGTTAGTATCTTAAAAAGTAATTTTGTGTAGCCAGGCATGGTGGCACACACCTGTAATCCCAGCAACTCAGCAAGCTGAGGCAGGAGGATTGCAAAGTTCAAGGCCAGCCTCAGTAATTTACTGAGACCTCAGCAACTTTGTAAGACCCTGTCTCAAAAAATAAAAAGGACTGGGGATATAGCTCTGTGGTAAAGTGCCCCTGGATTCAATTCCCAGTACCAAAAAAAAAAAAAAAAAAAAAGTAATTTTGCTAGTAAGGATGTTAAGGTACTTTACTATTGTTTTATTTGCATTTCTCTAGTTATTTGCAAAATTAAAAAAGAGTGAATTTTAAATTATACGTGGATTAATACTTTTAATACATGAGGAATATGCAAGCATGTGTACACAAAGATACACAAAGCAACAAAAATAGATTAGAGGGACTGGGGATGTGGCTCAAGCGGTAGGGTGCTTGCCTGGCAAGTGCGGGGCGCTGGGTTCGATCCTCAGCACCACATAAAGATGTTGTGTCCGCCGAAAACTAAAAAAAAATAAATATTTTAAAAAATTCTCTCTCTCAAAAAAAAAAAAAAACAGGTTGGGAAGCATATATCATAGGGGAAAAATGTACATGGTTTGAAACACGGATGACATCCATCCTCTTCATAAAGTGCAAGAAAATTTTATAAATTAATGAGAAACATTTTCTACCTATCAAACTAGCAAAGATTCATTAAAAGAGTACAGGGTACAGGGCAATGGTTTATACCGGTAGGAGTTTAAACTAGTAAAACATTTCTGGAGGGCAATATGGCAATGTACGTCAAAGGTCTGAAAATTCTGTCTCCCTTTGGTCTCACAATTATAATTCTAGGAATTTAACAAAAAGAAATATATTATAAACATTCTCACAAATTCACCTACAGGATTTTCGTAGCACTGTTCTTTATAATGTTAGGAATATATCCATCAGTTGAGGTCTGGTTATACAAATTATGGCAGATCCAAACAAAAGCAAACAATACAGCCATTTACAATAATTAAGAATATAGTCATATAAAAATTTGTTCTCAATACAGTGATAGGTAAACAAGGAAACTATAAAAAATTAGATACAGAAAATTTCATTTTACATATATATTTGAAAAAGATCAATGTCCATTTTACTACTATTTACACTGAGGTTAAAATACTTATGTGTTCTCTGTGATGACTGATACAAGTGGTGGTAAAAAAGAAAAAAAAGAAACAGTTTTTGCCATACATGGTGGCACATAAAAATTTTTTAAAAAGCAGAGGATGTAGCTTAGTGATAAAGTGCTCCTGGTTTCCATCCCTAGTACCAAAAACAAAAACAAAAAGAGAAAGAGTTTTGTTTTGTTTTGTTTTGGGGATACTAGGGATTAAACTCAGGGGCACTCAACCACTGAGCCACATCCCCAGCCCTATTTTGTATTTTTTTAAAAATATTTATTTTTTTTAGTTGTAGTTGGACACTATACTTTTATTTTATTTGTTCATTTTTTAATATGGTGCTGAGGATCTAGTCCAGGGCCTCGAATGTGCTAGGAGAATGCTCTACTGCTAAGCCACATAAAAATAAAGATACTATGTGTTCATCTACAACATGTATATATATATACATACATACACATATATACATATATAATATAAAAAAAAAAGAAAGTGCATAGGGCTAGGTATAAAGCTACAGGGTCTCACTGAGTTGCTTAGCACCTCACTTTCACTGAGGCTGGCTTTGAACTCACACGCCTTCTGTCTCAGTCTCCCAAACCACTGGGATTACAGGTGTGCTCCACTAGCCCAGCTGAGTTTTTGTATTATTTAACTTCATTTAACCAATCCAATTTGTTGTCTTAATTCATTTGTACTAATAAATAACTGTGAGTACTAGTAATTCATATACTACATACATTTATGCTAAACTCTATTCTTAAGAATTACTAATAGTGGGGCTGGGGACATAGCTCAGTTGGTAGGGTGCTTGCCTCGCATGCACAAGGCCCTGGGTTCAATCCTCAGCACCACCAAAAGAAAAAAAAAAAAAAAAGAATTACTAATAGTTACTAGACACTAGTATCAGATTTTCCACATTTTATATTAATTGTGAAAGGTTATAAGCTACCCATATATGTTATTTGTACCTCAAAAAGAAAAGCAATTGAAGTTTAAAGCTTTTACTCATTCCTGTATCTGAAGTAAAAGCTACTAAAACAAACCTGAGCAGACAATTAATTTCCTTTTTTAAAAATGTTGTAGATGGACACAGTAACTTTATTTATTTATGTGGTACTGAGGATCAAATCCAGTGCCTCACAGGTGTTAGGTGAATGCTCTACCAATAAGCCACAACCTCAGTCCCTGGACAATTAATTTTTTAAATTTTCTTTCCTAAGTACTGATTTCCTTTGTAGTTGTCTTTGGTATTCATATAAAACATCTATAATCATATTTTTATCATCACCTCTTATCACCACCTAAGGTTAGTACAGTGCAAGTGAGCCTCTTATCCCTGCTTGCAATACAAATGGGACTTTCTCCCTCTCACTTTCCATTACAGGGCACTTGCCTTCTTCCAATAAAGTCCAAGGATTTAAAAGGCAAGTGAACCTTAATCTAGCTTTTTGCTCCCCACCTTATAAATAGGTTGACACACAGTGGTAGAGGGGCGCTTTACCACTGAGCTTTATAGCTAGCCCTATGCACTTTCTTTTTTTTTATATTATATATATATATATATATATATATATATATATATATATATATATATATATATATATATTGTAGATGAACACATAGTATCTTTATTTTTATGTGGTGCCAAGGATCAAACCCAGTGCCTCACGCATGCAAGGTAAGTGCTTTACCACTGACCTACAGCCCCAGCCCCCATCCACTTTCTTAATGACATATTTTAAAGAATGCAATTTTAATTTAAATAAATTCTAATTAATCAATATTTTTTCTTATTCCAATCTTTTTTATCTTAGCTTGTTATCCAAGAAATATTCCAGGGTCATAAGGTTATTTTCCTTTTGAAATTCCTAGAAGGTATGGCAGTTTTAAAAGATATTAACAAGTTAGGCACAATGCCTAAAAACTCAGAGGCTGAAGCAGAGGATCTCAGGTTTAAGGCCAGCCTGAGCAATTTAGGGAGACCCTGTATCAAAATTTAAAAGAAAAAAAAAAATAACTGGGGATGTAGCTCAGTGGTGAAGTGCCCAGGTTCAATACCCATTACAAAAAAAAAAAAAAAAAGTCCACAAATTCTTTGATACTCCTCCTGTAACAGGGGTTCATTTAAAACCATCCCTTGCTCTCTCCTCTCCTCTTTGCCTTCCACCCCTCCCTAAATCAGCTTGGCTGAACAAAAGCCTTTCCTAAGGCTTTAGTTAACTAGCTGCAGGTCATATTGATGTTACTTCAAGAGAAAACACATCTGGATGCCAAAGACCTTGACCAATACAAGGACTCCCTGCCTACTGTTTCACTGTACACCCTTTTCTACTATAAAAGCTCTTTGCATACTAAAACCCACAAAGATGGAGATCTGAGAAGCAAAAAAGTCTCTTCTTTCTTTCCTAGGACTAGCTAAATAAACCCATTTCCTCTAACTAACTTGTCTCCAGATGAGCAATGAGTAGCATGACACCCATAATTTCAGTTAACATTCAAGAGCTACCATGTTAGAGTGCTATTGCCAGGTGCAGTGGTACATACCTGTAGTCCCAGATACTCAAGAATCTAAGGCAAGAGGATCACTTGAGCTCAGGAGTTACAGGCCAGCTTGGGCAACAAACAGACCCCATTTCTAAAAGGAAAGAAAACAAAATTACATAAGCTTAATTCCTCTAACCTTGAATACAGGCTGGAGTAATGAATAGAATACAGTAAAGTGACAGTGTGTGACTTTCAAGACTGTCATAAAAGACACTCAGCTTCCTCCTTGCTCTCTCTCTTGTATCACTCACTCTTGAGGGAAGACAGCTACCAGATCCTAAGGGCACTTGAGTGAGCGGTTCTCCAACTCCAATCCAGCCTTCAGATGACTCTACTTGTTACCATCTTGACTGCAACCTTATAAGGGATCTAAGCCAGAATTACCTAGCTAAGGTCCTCCTGTGTTTTCGACACAGAAAAACTGCAAAGTAATAAATATCTGTTGCTTTAAGCCACTAAATATTGGGAAATTTGTTATATAGAAAGAGATGATACAGAAATTTTATAGTTTTTATACTCAGATTTTAGGTATATGATGAAAGGCAATTCCATTAGTTTCTGTGTATGGAGTAAGTAGGAATACTAGTTCATTGTTTCCCACATAGATATGAAGGTAGAATGACATTTTTTTTTTTTTCCTGCTGGACTGACTTGGCACTTGGGTGGGAATAAGTGACTGTGTATTTCTGAGTTCTCCATTGTGTTCTATTGATATGTACATCCTTACACCAAGATCACTCTGCTTTGTTTACTGTAGCTTCAAAGGAAATCCTGGTATCAGGAAATAAAAGGCCTCTGACTTTGTCTTTTTTTTGTACTTATAGATGGACGAATGCCTTTATTTTTTTACTTGTTTATTTGTAGGTAGTGCTAAGGATGGAACCCAGTGCCTCACGCATGCTAGGTAAGCACTCTGTATTTTTTCAAAATTATTTTGACTATCCTTAGTCTTTTACATTTCGGTAAATTTATTGAATCATCTTGTTTATTTCTTCAAAGACCACCAAGATGTTAATGAAAACTGTATTTAAATCTGTAGATCACTTGGAAAAAATTCCATTTTAACAATGCAGTCTTTCAGTTCATGACTATGTCAACATTTCTTTCCCTCTCCCCCAACCCTCTATTGTTTAACTTACTTAACAGTGTTTCACACTTCGAGGTTGAGAGCATATTCTTAGATTTATTCATAGGTACTTGGTTTTTGTAATGTCATTGTAAACAATTTTTCAGTTTACAAATTGTTCATTGCTATTACAGAGAACTACAAATGATTTCTATGGATTGACTTTGCTAAATTCACTTACTAGAATTGGTTTGTGTAAGTTTCAAAGAGTTTTCTATGTATATAATCATGTCATATGTAAATAATAGTTTTACTTCCTTTTAGTTTTTCATGCCTTACTTTATTTCTTTCTTTTGACCTCTTATACTGTCTAGGTCCACTAGTTCAATGCCAAATAGAAGTGGTAAAAGAGAAAATATAACCATATTATTTTAATACATATAGTGTCCCTACCTATGATTGACAAGTATTTTCTGTAAAGGGTCAGATAGTAAATATTTTAGGCTTTTAAGTCCATACAGTATGTTCCAACTGTTCTATGCTACTGATATAGTGGGACAGCAAACAGAGACAATATTTAAACAAATGAGCATAGTTATATTCCAATAATACTTTACTTACAGCCACTGAAATTTGAATTTCCTATTATTTTCACACGTCATAAAGTTTCCTTTGGTTTTTGTTGAACCATTTTAATATGTAAGGAGTATTTTTAAGTCACTTGCCACAGTAAGAACAGATTATGTGCTGAGTTTGGCCTACAGACCAAAGATCATTGATCCCTTATTTTTATATTGATTTATCACCTTTCTTCTTGTCTAATATATACAATGTTTCCCTCTAAACAATACTTTTACTACATTATTAATTCTATCATTTTGACATTGTACTATGTTTTTAGCCACTGCTATAGAATTTCAAATTTAACAATTAAATCTTCAAATAACACTATACCACTTAACCTAGTGTAAGAATATTACAATTGCATTCATCCATTTTTCCTACTATTCTTTATGCTATTTTATCATAATATTTTATATAAATAATATAAATTTTTATATAAAATGTATTATATGTGCTATGTACATGGTATACTTATGATACAGATGGTCCTTGACTTACGATAGGTTATATCCTGATAAACTGATCTTAAGTTAAAAATATCATGTTAAAAATGGATTTAAGCCACATGTAGTAACACGACACATGCCTGTAATCTCAATGACTTGGGAGGCTAGGGCAGGAGGACTGCAGATTTAAAGCCAGCCTTGGCAACTTAAAGAGGCCTAAGCAACTTATCAAGACCCTATCTCAAAAGGTTAAAAAAAAAAAACATAAAAGGGCTGGGGATGTGAATCAGTGGTTCCCTGGATTCAATTCCTAGTACCAAAAAACAAAAAAGGACTTATACTGGAATAGCTCTTTTTCTCACTACCTTTAGAATAAACCAACCCTGCCAACACCGTCATTTCAGATTTCTAGCCCCTAGAATTGTGAAACAATGTATCTCTGGAAGCCACCCACTCTGTGGTACTTTGTCATAGCAGCCTGAGCAAACTATTTTGCAGGGCATTTATTTATGTTCAGGACTTTGGGAGATAAGGAACTTACAGATTGGTTGCTTTCAAATCTCTTGAAATACAAGTTTAATTATAATTAGTAAAGGATTATTACACAAAAAATAACCCCTGAATATTCAGGAAGAATTACTGTGTGCTTAGAAAATTAACTGTAATCTCTTTAAAAAATAGAAAATAGCTTACAATCACAGTCAAAAAGAAATTGTCTATTAACTAATAGAAAAGGTGCAACCTAAATCACATTCTTACTTATATGGTAACTCCAAAACTACCACAGGTTTGGGATATGTGTTTATTTTAAAATAAAAGCAAATCTCATCAAATCAGTTTACAGAAAATATGGGGAATAAAAGAACAATACCACATAGAAGCAAAATGAGAATGTGGGACTTTCTATAAGACAAATGGCAGGGTTTCATCAATAAATAAGTGGCAAAGAACCAAAACAGGATGATGTTTTAAAGGAGAGCTAAGAGATCAACCAAATGTCATCTTTAGAACACATCTGAATCAGTAAAAAAGGTATTTTTGAGAAACAGGACAAATCTAACATAGACTTAGATAACACTAAGGAATATTTTATTACATAAAAAAATGAATTCATCAGACAACCTACTGAACATTCTAGCTTAGCAACACAGTACACTGTAGAAGATCAGTTGTTTGTCTTCATGATCACGTGGCTGATTAGGAGCTGTTGCTGCCCAGCATCACCAGAGGATCCTACTATATATCACTAGCCTAGAAAAGGATCATATTCAAAATTCAAAGTACGGGTTCTACTAAATGCTTATTGCTTTCCCACCATCATGAAGTCAAAAAATCATATGTCAGGGACCATCAGTGTATGACAAATACATGAAATATCATAAACCCCCCCCAAATATGGTACCAATTATTCTTCCTTTATATAAACAATTATCCTTTAGAGATTAAGAATTAGAAAACCACATTATTACCATTTCTGGTTCTATCTATACATTCAATTTCCTTTCCAGTATCATTTTGTTTCTGTCTAAAAAGTTATAAACTTTGTGTGGGGGAGGGGACTGGAGATTGAACTCAGGGGCCCTCAACCACTGAGCCACATCCCCAGCCCTGTTTTGTATTTTATTTAGAGACAGGGTCTCACTGAGTTGCTTATTGACTTGCTTTTGCTGAAGCTGGCTTTGAACTCTCAATCCTCCTGCCTCTGCCTCTGGAGCCACTAGGATTACAGGTGTGTGTCATCTCGATCTGCTAAGTTTTAACATTTTTATAACTCAGATGTGCTGGCAATAAATCCTCACATCTTTGTTAGTCTCAAAAAATATATTTTTTAAAGATATTTTTCACTAATTATGGAAATCTAGATGGACAGTATTTATTTGTCTTTCGGTACTTTGAAAAGAATGTTCCAATGTCTTCTAGCTTGCATAGATTATAATCAATCTTATTGTCTGTGGTGGGGCGAGGTGCTGGGCATCAATCAAACTCAGGGCCTTGCACATGTTGGGCAAGTGCTCTGCCACTGAGCTCACCCCCAACCTAAAATCTTATTGTCTTAATTAATTAGTTAGGGCTGCTATAACAAAATACCATGGACTGGGTGGCTTACAAAAATGGAAATTTATTTCTCACAATTCCAGAGTCTACAAGTTTGAGACAGGGTGCTAACACCCTGGTTACAGACTTCTTTGTGATCTCACATGGTGGAAAAGAACACAAGAGAAATCTATGAGGTTCCTATCACAAAAACAGAGAGACAGAAAGATTCCCACTCCTTAAGTGAGGACTATGCATATATCAATACTTTCCAAAAGTACAAATGCAAAAAGAGGGAAAATAGGGTAACTTTACAGTAAAGAAAACTGACACACACTACCTCAGCCAGATGATCAGGGTCAACATGATCAATAAGTCATATTAAGCAGAGCACAATGGCACATGCCTGTGATCACAGAGGCTTGGGAGGCTAAGGAAGGAGGGTTGCAAGTTCAAAGCCATCTTGAGCAACTCAGTTTGGCCCTAAGGAACTTAGTGAGACCCTAAGCAATTCAGCCAGACTCTGTCTCAAAAAATAAAAAGAGATGGGAATATGGATAGTGATTAAGTACCCTTGGATTCAATCCCCAGTATCAAAAACAAAAACAAGTCATGTTGACAATATGTCTGTTTCATACAGTATAATGAAAAGGGTACTCAGACCTAGGCCTTCCCCAAAACCACAAACACCATTCTAATCATGTGAAAAACTCCAGACAAATACCAAAATAAGGAGATGTTCTACAACTACCTGAGTAATACTAACTCAAAACTTTCAAAAGCAGGCTATAGGTGTGCTCAATGGTAGAGAGCTTGACTGTATGAAGTCCTGGATGTATGAAGGATGTATGAAGCCTGGGTTTGATCCCCAGCACATCATGGGCATTACAAACAAGAAGTCAGAGAAATTGTCATAGCTAA